TTTCGCACACTGTTTTTTTAAAAAAATCATGGGTTTTGCTAGCTTAATCGTTAAGCTAGCAGAACCAAATCTCAAATAGAAGGAATATAAGAATATTGAGTGCACCAAAATTTAAGGCTAATTTTAGGCTCTTCGTTGAACCTATTATCGATTTTTTTGAAAATCATTTTCTGCAAAACATTTCTAAAATCCAACATGAACATGACAAACCAATAGCAAATCAAAAAACTTCAATCACAAATCTAATTATGCCATAATTTCAGGCTGATTTAAGGCTCTAATCCTAGCCTATTGCCAATTTTTTCGCACATTGTTTTTTACTCGTTTTTTAAAAAAACCATGGGTTTTGCTAGCTTAACCGTTAAGCTAGCAGAACCAAATCTCAAATAGAAGGAATATAAGAATACTGATTACACCGTAATTTAAGGCTAATCTAAGGCTCTTCATTGAACCAATTATCGATTTTTTTGTGAATTATTTCCTGCAAAAAAAATTTCAATTGCAACATGAACATGACAAATATTTTCTGAATATTTCCGAATCGCCATGTGATGAAATATTTCTGCATCTCACATAATAATATGCATCACATTGCATAATACATCGTAGTGGCTATATATGGAAAAAATGCAAAAAACTGGAAGTAGGTTTCCATCATCGTCTTCCTACTTTACGCGCATCTATGAAATTGTTTAGTGAAAAGAATGTAGTTGATTTTTTTATGATGATGGCTCAGTCAATTCTGTGAGAAATACGCTCATGATTCAAGATATTAGGTATGCAAGATATTATGTTGAAAATATTCGTAGACTTTTCCATTATTGTTACCCTGTTTAAAAAAGCTTGTTTTTTGCAAATGACTGCGGATAAGCTCTAAGAATGAGTGTTTTGTTTAAGAACGTCTTGATACTCTAATAGTCTTGATGCAATTTCTTTAGATGAAAAAACCAAGGTTAGTAGGATATACAGTGTGTCCCACTTACCATGCTCACCATGGGTATCTTTTTAACGGTGAGAGATACGAGGTCGGTTGAATGACACCAAATGTGGAGTTTGTCAAGGCCAACTATAATAGGAAAAAATATTTTGATAAAATCTATTCGTTTTTGTTTTATACACAAAAAACAGATTTGGATCATTTTCATGTCTCCTCCGTAGCTTCTTTATTTATGAAAATATTCAAATAGGAATTTCACATTCTCATGGCAGTTTTTCAAAGTAATTTCGGAAAAAATATTAAATTTATCCTGATATATATAATGTATCGACATTTTTTTTTCTTAAATCTTATTGATCAGTATAAAGTATAAAACCTCGATCAGTATATAAATATGGCCACTCTGGCGCTTCACCGGCAACAGCGAATTATGCTGCGGTGATTCCCAGTCTTTCCGTGATTCCCCGTCTTTCCGAGACGTTGAAGCCGAACGCAGTTCCGCATTATATCTTATTAATTTTATTCGTATTCATAAACTTGTATTTTTTACGAGATTTTTTACCAACATTTTACATTCCTATACATTAGAGCACTGAAATTTTTAATTGTGATAAGTAACTTCCATTGAATAGAATATAATTGTAATGAAAATGTGAAAATGATTTTCCAAAAAATCGATAATAGGTTCAACGAAGAGCCTAAAATTAGCCTTAAATCATGGTGCACTCAATATTCTTATATTCCTTCTATTTGAGATTTGGTTCTGCTAGCTTAACGGTTAAGCCAGAAAAACCCATGATTTTTTTGAAAAAACAGTGTGCGAAAAAATTCGCACTAGGCTAGGATCAGAGCCTCAAATCAACCTGAAATTATGGCATAATTAGGTTTGTGATTGAAGTTTTTTTGGTTTGCTATTGGTTTGTCATGTTCATGTTGGATTTGGTGAAATTTTTGCAGAAAATGATTTTCAAAAAAATCGAAAATAGGTTCAACGAAGAGCCTAAAATTAGCCTTAAATTATGGTGCACTCAATATTCTCATATTCCTTCTATTTGAGATTTGGTTCTGCTAGCTTAACGGTTAAGCTAGCAAATCCCATGATTGTTTTAAGAAACAATGTGCGAAAAAATTGGCAATAGGCTAGGATCAGAGCCTAAAATTAGCCCTAAATTAAGGCATGATTAGTTTTGTGATTGAACTTTGTTTGGTTTGCTATTGGTTTGTCATGTTCACATGTTAGCTTAACGGTTAAGCTAGCGAAACCCATGATTTTTTTTTAAATCAGTGTGCGAAAAAATTGGCAATAGGCTAGGATCAGAGCCTTGAATTAGTCTGAAATTATGGCATAATCAGGTTTGTGATTGAAGTTTTTTTTGGTTTGCTACTGGTTTGTCATGTTCATGTTGGATTTGGGAAATTTTTTGCATAAAATGATTTTCAAAAAAATCGATAATAGGTTCAACAAAGAGCCTAAAATTAGCCTTAAATTATGGTGCACTCAATATTCTTATATTCCTTCTATTTGAGATTTGGTTCTGCTAGCTTAACGGTTAAGCTAGCAAAACCCATGATTTTTTTAAAAAAACAGTGTGCGAAAAAATTGGCAATAGGCTAGGATCAGAGCCTTAAATTAGTCTGAAATAATGGCATAATCAGGTTCGTGATTGAAGTTTTTTTTGGTTTGCTACTGGTTTGTCATGTTCATGTTGGATTTGGGAATTTTTTTGCAGAAAATGATTTTCAAAAAAATCGATAATAGGTTCATTGAAGAGCCTAAAATTAGCCTTAAATTATGGTGCACTGAATATTCTTATATTCCTTCTATTTGAGATTTGGTTCTGCTAGCTTAACGGTTAAGCTAGCAAAACCCATGATTTTTTTAAAAAAACAGTGTGCGAAAAAATTGGCAATAGGCTAGGATCAGAGCCTTAAATTAGTCTGAAATAATGGCATAATCAGGTTCGTGATTGAAGTTTTTTTTGGTTTGCTACTGGTTTGTCATGTTCATGTTGGATTTGGGAATTTTTTTGCAGAAAATGATTTTCAAAAAAATCGATAATAGGTTCATTGAAGAGCCTAAAATTAGCCTTAAATTATGGTGCACTGAATATTCTTATATTCCTTCTATTTGAGATTTGGTTCTGCTAGCTTAACGGTTAAGCTAGCAAAACCCATGATTTTTTTAAAAAAACAGTGTGCGAAATAATTCGCAATTGGCTAGGATCAGAGTCTCAAATTAGCCTGAAATTATGGCATAATTAGGTTTGTGATTGAAGTTTTTTTGGTTTGCTATTGGTTTGTCATGTTCATGTTGGATTTGGTAAATTTTTTGCAGAAAATGATTTTTCAAAAAATCGATAATAGGTTCAACGAAGAGCCTAAAATTAGCCTTAAATTATGGTGTACTCGATATTTTTATATTCCTTCTATTTGAGATTTGGTTCTGCTAGCTTAACGGTTAAGCTAGCAAAACCCATGATTTTTTTAAAAAAACAATGTGCGAAAAAATTGGCAACAGGCTAGGATTGGAGCCTAAAATTAGCCTTAAATTATGGCATAATTAGTTTTGTGATTGAACTCTTATTTACGAAGTGGTTCTGCTAGCTTAACGTTAAGCTAGCAGAACCCACGTTTTTTTACATAAATCGAAGAGCAATAAATTCGGCAATAGGGTAATAAATTAGCCTTTAATTAGCCTAAAATTATGGCCGAAAAAAAAATTGAAAAATTCAAAGTGGTTCTGCTAGCTTAATGGAGGTCTAAATAAATACGTTCGCATGAATTTTTTTTTGAACACCCAACTTCAAAAACAAGAGACTCATACTTCAATGTTGATTTAAAAAGTACCAATTCCTATTCAAAATCTTGAAGAAACTTCAAGAGAAAAAAATTTCTACTGAAAGAATCACTACAAGGAACAAAATTGTCTCATGATTCACCAAAAACTAATCAAATTACTTCGTTCATTTGCTGTTTTAACAAGTTGCTTGACGAAAATTCGATCGATGACATCACAGTGTCGACATGTTGATTTTAGAAATATGTCCACTTGTGGTCGATTTCAGGTGAAACTTGTAGCACGCCCACCCTAAATCATTGTTCAAAGTTTTATTATTACGCTGATGTACAATTTTACGTTATATTTGAATTGTGCCGCGCTCCCGTGTGATACACTGATTGGTGCGCAGATTTGACTTTAGTCGGAGGGTACCTCGGTGGTAGTACCTGTGGTTAGAAAACGATCAACTCTCGTCTCCTCTCGTAATCCGTCCGCGTGCCAAGTTTTGCATAATCGACGTAAACTGGTACTCATCTGTTATATTCGTAAAATCCCTCCCCCCACCCCTTGAGAATCTCTTATTTAAATAATGTTCACGACTGAGCTGGTCAACTACAATTCAATTGTTTTTTCATGAAAATATCGGTTTCAAGAAACTATATCTTCGATCCAAATGTCAAGTATAACATAAAAAAAAACAAGTGAAGGACGCCCTGCCCTGTCCAATGACTTTTTTGGTTAGTGGGGTGGCAGGTCAGTTGAAGGGGCCGCAGCGTTTATACCGTGTGGATATTAGGTACTCACCAAATACAGACCAAATTAACGCATGTTTACCCCATGTATCATTAGTTGCTAATGTTACCAACTCAACCTAATTATTTTGAGGTTAGATTGTGAAACTCTACTCAGACACATGAATGATCAATATCTTCTCGCAAAATTATAAATTAGCCAGAACATAAAAAGATGGAAATTGTTTTGAGGAATCATAAAATAACAGAAACTTGCTTATTACTCAAGATGTTAACATAGTTTTTTCATAGTATTTTACTATAGTTTGCATTAAATTTCTGAACCAAACCAAGCTGGTAACTTCACCAAGTGTACAGTTACACTGATCAGAAGTATTTAGTTAACATAAAGTAATTAGTCTGCTAATCAAGACACAGTATAAACGTGGCGACTTTCTAGAATTTAGGATTATGTATAACTGACAATTAATTGCAAAATACAGAAACTACAACACAAGATGGATGCAGACCGTAAATATGACCAATATCTCACCTGGTTGGTATCTGCTATGGCTGGTACAATACTGTTGGTAACAGTCTTAACGCCCTGAATTGAGGGCCGTATGATCTGCTGAGACAAGATATTTATCAAAGGAGGCTGACGCCGCATTGGGTTGTTCTGCGCAGATACTGGGCGAATTATTTGCTGGGACAGGATATTAATCAGTGTAGACGGCTGTGTAGTGGCTGTCCTAGCGATGGTGGTAGTCGTGGTACTTGTAGTGATTATAGAGGAAGTGACAGAAGAGTTTTCAGGTTTTTGGTCGCTTATTCTGGGTTGCCCAATTCTCTGGATATGCGGAGTGACTTGGGTGCTCGTCTGTGTGTTCTGTATGGGCACATTTTGGGCCTGCCTGCCTCCTGAAATCTGTACAACATTCACGATGGGACTCACATTCAATGGCCTCATCATTTGAAAATTATCCAGTCCAGGAACATTTGCTAGAATCGATTTAGCATAATTCCTTTCTTCTGCTTTGTCAACGCACATTGTCATAGACATATTGAGGGCTTTTTGTTTGTTCAGATCACAGCAAGCTCTGGAATAAACCCTGGGATTTACTCGAATGTTAGCATCTTGCAGCGGCGAGAAGTTGTTGTTTTGTACTAAATTTGGTGCTTTTCCAGCTTTATTTTCAGACTTATCCATACTTCTTCGTCTTTTCGCATTCTTCGGAGGAGTTCTTCCTCTATCACATTTACTTTTGATACTAGGATATTCTTCCTTGTTTGATGTGCACTTTCCATCGAGTTTCTTATTCGAGGGTAGGCGATCAAGAATCACTTTCAATTCTTTTGGTTTGGTCTCACCAATTTGTACACTGGAATGTGAGTCGATTTTATTAATACTATTTACATTTTTACAAACATCTAATTTATCATCACCAGTCAGTGCATTAACACAGTCTTTAAACGCTGTTGCTAGCGGCTTCTTCGATTTGTTTACATAAGTTCTAATATTTTCAGTCAAATTCAAGTTCTTTGGTAATTCATCTTCAGAATCTTTTGCCACCTGTTCAGCGTCTCTAACAGTGTAGTCATTATTATCCTGAGGAATCAACTTCTCCATCTTATCTCCAAATACACTAGAGAAAATCTCAACATCAGAGTTCTGTAATTCCGACTGAGAAACATCTTCAAATAAATATTCGTCGATTTTATTCGCATCACCACCATTTATTTCAACTACCATATTGCTATCTTTACCCACATCATTATTGCACCGTACTTTGTCTCGTTCATGCAAATTTTTTTCACTACTAAATTCTTCCTCATTTCTTATTGTAGCTTCCAAGATAGCAGAGGAATTCATCATCTCCACACAACTCATCTGGTTTCCGAATCTGAACCTGCTCGGTTTCGGGAAATGTTCCTGTTGCACCTCCGTATAAGGGTCCAAGTTCGTTTGTATCAGCCCTGGCCAGCACTTGCCCTCCCATTTGGCCCACCCCATGTCCCTGCTGGGAATACAACGGTACTGGATTTGGTCCAAGCATTGCTCCATACTGATACTGCATTGAGGTATCTTCGTGACAGGCATTTTGTCCAAAACTACAGACACTGCCTGGAGTTGCTTGAGAGGCATTGCCAGAGGACGCTTGGGAGAATTGTGAGTTGTTTTGATTTTGGGTTTGTCTGAACTCTGTGAGAGTTTGCGAACTTTGGGCAAACTGCAAGAGATGTCTTGCAATCGCTTCTGTTTCATCTGCCCTACTTGTTTCTGCAATTGGTCTTGCTTGGTACTTTGGCTGGTTTGGAATGATTGATCCTTGCTTGCATACTTGGTTTCGTATTGTGAGGGAAGACGTAGTTGCAGTCTGTCTAGATTGACTACAAGCTTTTTGTGTTCCAGACTGCAATGCTGCTTGGAGCAGTCGGCTTGTGTTTTGGGCAAGAGTGCCTTTTCTGTCCAGAGTTCCAGTCGAGGAACTTCTATACGAACATCCAACAGTTTCATATTGCCCAGGGGGCTGCTGCTTGTTTGGTTTTGTTCCTCCGGCAACTGAACGGCACTGGGTTCGGGCTGGGTGTTGACTTCCAATTGTATCATCTCTTCCTTGACCTCCAATTGTTTGCTCTCTTCCTTGAATTCCAAGTGTTTGCTCTCTTCCTTGATTTCCAACTGTTTGATCTCTACCTTGACTTCCAATTGTTTGCTCTCTTCTTTGATAATGAATTGTTTGTTCTCTTCCTTGACTTCCAATTGTTCGATCTCTTCCAACAGTTTGCTGTTGGACACTGATCGGCTGTTGACCTCCGGTGTGTAGCTGTTCTCCAATTTGCTGTTGATTTCTACTTTGATGTTTTTCAAAATGTTGACTTTTAATTGTTTTACTTCGCCCGACAGGTTGCTCTCCTGAGACTGATTGATTTCCTGTATGTCGCTGTCTTCCAATTGGTTGTTGACCTCCGATTTTATGCCACCTCCCAACTTCGTGTTTTTCTTCAACTGGTTGCTGCTGTCCTCCAATTGTTTGCTGTCTTCCGACTGGTTGTTTTCCTGTTTGCTGTGGTCCTCCTGTTGACAAATGACCACCAACTGTTTGCCGCCTTCCAACTGATTGATCTTTTCCTGCATGCTGCTGTCCTCCAGTTGATTGATGTGTTTGAAGTGATGTTTGATATCCGACATGGTACTGTCTAGGAACAAGTTCTCCAATTTGCTGCTGTCTTCCCGTAGACTGCTGTACCCTTGAAATAGATATGTCGGCCATTTTGTTCGAATCCAGGTTCGTAGGCGATAGGTCTTGGGTATGACTATGGAGTTGTTTATCAGAGCTTCGTTGCTCTGTGATTTCTCTGGATGCACCAAGCTGTTGGCTGGGGTCTTTGTTGATAGATTTAGTGACTGACAAGAGTAGCTGTCTGATGGTTTCTGGTTGGGGCCTAGTACTGGATGGTCCCTCACTTCTAGAGGAAGATTTAGTACCAGTTGGTTTATCTTGTGACTTTGAATGGGATATTGAGTACTGCTTGCTCGATTCTGTATACATCGGGTAACATGTGGTTGTTCTTGCCTTTCCGGATGGTTTGGAGGTTGGTCCACGCTGGGAGGAACTAACTGTTCCAGGCTCACAAAAGGTTGTTTCAGTTTGTTGACGTCTACCAACAGAGACTTCTTCTCTGGGTGTTGTTCCTGTTTCTGAGGTATCTCTTTGTCCGATTGGTTTGAGGACGGATTCTCTTTGGAAGGAACGAGCTGCTCCAGGCTCACAAAGGGTTGCTTCAAATTTATGTTTACCAAGGACGGTTCCTTCTTTTTTAGATGACTTAGAACTTGGCTTAATTCGCCCTGTTTCAGTTGGTTTGGCTGTTGGCCCACTTTGGGAAGAACTTGCTGCTCCAGACTTCCTAAAGTCTGTCTCAGTAAGTTCATGTCCCTCAATGGAGATTCCTCCTTTTCCAAGCGATTCGGAGTTTGTTCCTTTTTCAATCGAATTTGACATTGGTCCTCTTTTGGAAGAGCTGGCTCTTCTCGATTCAAAATAGGCTGTTTCAGTTTGCTGATGTTCACTAATGTGATCTTCAGTTGGCCTAGAGTAGGATTTTGATTTGCCTTGGCTAGTGGTTTCAATTGATCCTCCTTGGAGAACAGTGGCAAATCGTTCAGTGCCGAACGGTGATTGGGTAGAGTGACTTGAAGTTCCAGACCAGGAAGTAGAAGTTGACTGGGAAGAGGCAGGTCCGTTTGAATTTTTCCTTTGTGGATTAGGGATTGAGATAACGCAAGCTGGGTCGCCATTAGATTCTGATTGGGAGATTTTTTGAGAAGTAAAAAGTGCGGAGACGTAATTTGATTGTTGATTGGTTGTTGACGAGATAGTGACTCTTCCAGTACTGTAGGGTTTGTTCGAGTTTGTTTGGTTGCATTCAGCAGGGAACGGCCCAGATGGAGACGAAAAATTTGCGATATCGGGATAGAAACTGGTAGTTGGGGTGTATGCACTATAGTTGTAGTCATGATTGGTAGTGATTGGGTTTGTTTGTCCATTTTTATTTTGTAGACTCTGGTTCCCCGACATGGAAGACAAAAACCCTGCTCCCTGATGGCCACTACCTGGTTGTAATTGTTGTCGTCTACCATACCATTCGGCAATAGCTCTTTTTGTGGATTGGGGGGATCTTGTGTTATTTCCATTGTGCTCGTGACATTGTCCTTGATCTGTTCTGATGCTGGGTGTCGAGTTTCCTTGAGAAAAGGGTCTTCCAACCGTGGTATGGTGGATTTGAGAATTTGGGGCACTTGGATTATTGGTGTTTCTTTCTCCGCCACCTGCCCACCAAGTAGAGACAACGTGGCAGTCTTTACGTTTTTTGACTGAGAATCTTCAATACCAGAACTATTTGAATTATCACTTAAAGTAATACTGGGAAGCGATGTCTGACTGACAGCCGGGCAAACACCATTCAAAAATTCGCTTAAACTAGCAATATCAGGTTTTTGGACCTCTTGAAGGACATTATTAGAATCAGACTTGAAGAGCTTTTCAGCAATTACGTCTGACGGTTCTTTATCTTTCACTCTTTTGAGATTTGGTCTGAACATCCTAAGACTCTTCAGAGTATTTGGGTCCGATTTGGGCTGGGGAGGAAGCAATGGCAAGTAAGGTCCTTCTCCAGCCCCATCACTGCCAAGACTGTAGGGTCTTGAGTCTTGAGAGAGTGAATCTTCACTATCACTTTCATCTCCAGACACAAAATTGTGATCTAAATACTGCTCATACCCCCGTTCAATGCCAGCCAATTCGTCTAAAGGCTCACGCTTTATACCTTTGAATATGGAATAGTCAATATCAACAAACTTGAGCTCGGTAACAAAATTCTTAGTGGTCTGGGGATCTTGAAGATACATTTTACAAAGTCTGTGCAGGTCATCCCAGGGTAGAAACCAGCTAAGAATTTGATAGCGGGGATTTGACAAACATACGACCAGATCATCACACAGAGCTTCAGTTATTCCTAACACAGAATTCTGAAGTGCTTCATTTAACGCCATGTTGATTTTAGTTGGAGCAGTGAAGTCTGGATTGCACATCCAGTCACCACATTCTGGGCACACCCATGTCACATCATCCGAAGGTAAAGTAGGTGGATGCAGTTTACACTTCCATTCTTGACCTGTATCCAAGACCTGAAAACCACTTCTTCTGGCTAAATTTTCAATGGCAGCCATTCGATCTTTAGTTGGCTCTAGACTGAAAGCTGTCAGGATGCATTCTCTTGCAACTTTCACATGCTCATCCAAAAAGTCAGCCAAGTTGCAAAAAGCTGCTGCTAATCTAGATGTTGTTGCGGCTGCCTTTTCGGGTTCATCACTATCTTTTTGTCGCTCTAATTCGTTCATATCAGTTGTTAAAGCCCTGATGTACAACTCTACCACAAAAGGTTTCAATTCAGTTCCAGCCTGTATGGAATAATCAATTGATAAGTTTTCACTATAAATATTATATAATGAAGTGAAAGTACTATGAATACAGATACTGTAGACAAAACTATTATACTGATTCAGAATAGGCTTAAAATATTCTAGAGTACAAATATCCAGTGAAAAGTGGGGTATACAAAATTAGAAATAACGTCATATTTTTCCAGAGTAATAAATAATTTGTCAAATTCTTGGCAAACAGTGTACTGCCATTTTCTCATTGCTAAAATGCCATTTCCTTTTGTTTAGATAGATAAATTGTATTTTATTTTTGAGATATGCGAGAATAGAATATAGGTATTTATTTATTGAAAATCAAATAGGACAATAAGAGCCAACAGGGTCCAAAATATTATCCACTAAGACAGTGGTAATATGCTGTAGAGAATTTCATTAATCCACATGACTCAACTATTCTAAAATATATTATTTGGTGTAAGAAATTGATATATAAAAAATATTAAAAAACTACTGAATGCCCAATAAATAAATAATCAATCGATAATAAAAATAATTCCCCATATCATGATAGAAAGGGCAGAGACGATCAAATGTTTTTTGATTATGGTGACTTACTTTTTTTTGAATGACATCACAGAATACATAAAGACCATCAGCATCAGCCAAGTTACTGATACGTCTGATTGATGTTGGAAAATCTTGTAGAAGGCTCTCCTTGGTGCAGAGTGAAATATAAATTTCTAGAAAGCTTTCTAGATATGTCTTCAGTTCTACAGCATACTTCACAACAGCTTGTGAAATGTACATTTGCGCGCCTAATATAGCGACTCGGTGGCAGTTTTTCCAAATTTTTGATATCTTGACTCGCTTGTTTGCAAACCGCCTCACCAATTGCAATCCCTCGTCAAATGCAAGTTCTTTCAACTGAAAATTCAAATAATAATCATTATTGATCATATTATGTGAATGCAAAATTATACATATCCAATACAATCAAATGGCCATCGACCTGAGTGGAAAACATTAAATGAAAACGAAATGATTTCAGGTAATTCAAATCTGGGACCAATAGGTCCTTTCCAGAATCAGTGGATTCATCAAATTCATGTTCTCGGGCTTGGAGGCTAATTTCTCAGGGTGTTGGCAGTTTTTCCTGTAGTTTTTGCACCTTAGTCATGGAAAAAACAGTTCGTTGGATGGGTCGTGAAGCACATTGTCTCTAGAGTGACGCAGTCTAGTGATGGTACGATGTGCGGAGGTTTGGGCAATTTGCAGGTTTTTCATAGCAGGGTTCCTAATGTTCAGCTATAGTGGGTCTAATATTGGTCTCAAGATTGATTTGTAGATTCTACTTGCAGTAGGTACTGATGTTGATGCCATGCTCAGAATGTCAAAGATGTCAAATGCTTTGCTCATCTCTGCTCTTGCTTTAACTTTACTTCTTGCAATTGCTGTGTGGGTGGTGATTGAAATTCAGCTAATGATCGAGATGGACGGCAGTTTTGGTACGCTGGTGTGATATATTAATGCTGTATCATCTGCATATTGTAATATATATGTCTGTTGATTTACCACCTGTTGTATTTCTTGTAGGTCATGATTCAAATGATTGAAGGTTTGAAGATAGAAGGGTTGGGATATTACTGTGATTTATTTTGTGACACTGGTACTAAACAGTTAGTAACGTTTACTTCATGTATATAAAAATGGGAAGTCACATAGCGATAAAATGATGGTCAATTATGGCTTCTTCAAAATGTGTATAAGTAGTGTAAATGATTGTTATTGCAATAAGAGGCTGAGACTTCATATTTGAAACTCCTTCAAATATAAGTCGCTACTTGAAATAAGTATTTTGTATCATGCAAAAGAAAAGTATCATTATTTTGCGTTACAGCTACTTTCAACTTTTTCTACCTGTATCTTATAAGGAGATGATTGAGGTTTATTTTTTACCTTTTGTGCCCAGAAATAATAATGAATGGTAAACTATCTAACCTAGTAATAGTGCTAATCAAATATTTCAAAGTTCTCCCTACATTACCTACCACTTTTGTGATCACTAAAGACTTATTCAATTCAATATGTCGGTTATTTTATGGTTTCATAGTTAACATTATGATCAAGATGCATATAAAAAAAATACAAAAATGACTGTCTACTCACCAGAACAACAATTGTCTGTCTGTGCTGAAATTTGTAAAGCAAGGCAATGTAGATATCAAAAATGAACCACATTTGGGACTCTGTAGCATTTACACTGAAATTTTGTGTTTTTGACAGTTTGTTGCAGTTCATAAACGCCGTTACCAAATTTAAGGCCAAGTCTTCACAATGAGATTCACATAACTTCTTTAAACGAACAGATACTAGGTATGCAGTTTCCACACAAAAGAATTCGACCTCTGAAAAATACCTTTATATTAGAACAAAAATCAAGTTTGATTCTTTCATTCACCTTCTGGGCCAATTTCAGCATCTTTTGTTTTCATTAGTCTCATCAGTACGGTATCTTCCCAGGGGTTTCTCACAACATCTGCTAATTTTTTGCACCTTGTAGCAAAAGCACTATTTAGTTTTGACAATGCACTCTCAGCCCTGGCTATTTCTTCAAGAAGCTTGGGTTCATAGTTTGCTGAAATTTACCATCTATTTTCTTAGTTTATATAATTATGTATATGTCGGCGTCAATTAGTGAAATCCGTCATTTCCTGAAATGCCTATTCATTTCACGTATTATCGGCAAACAGCGTAACTTCCATTTTCAGCCGTTACTCTGTTTGCCGGAGGGTTGAGGAAGGAAAATATCCTTTCTGCATATGCATAATGATGCCAAAATGAACCTTCTTTCTAGAAAGTATATTTTTCAGAAAATTACTTGGAGAACAGAAGAGACTGCTGCTTCTTAAGCTGACTCGGCCTAAATGAACCTTCCGTCCATCATTACAGGGAATGCCTGAAACGATTAGGCAAACGGTGTACGAAATTAAGAGTTACGCTGTTTGCCGGCAATACGTGAAATGACTAGGTATTCCAGAGAATGACGGATTTTACTGTTTGACGCCAACATATATATTTATATATATGTACATACAGGGTGTTTCAAAATTCAGTATCAAGATTTCAGGGACTCATTTTCCAGGTCGAAATAATACTTTTTGTTCTACGCTTCGTTACCGATCTACAGAGCAGTAGTTTCAAGATTTTTTTATTTTCCATACATAAAGTCGAGGTTCCTTAGGTTTCTTATTGTTTAGGTAATGTTTTTAAACTTATCAAGTTCACAAACTCATTGTGATAAAAGGTTCCTCCCTTTTGTTAAAAATTTCAATCTAGCAAATTGAAAAATAATATGTTTTTTCTGTGACGGCAAAAAAGTTTGACATTTCATACCTGTTGACAGGTTACAAAATGTTTCTTTTCATAAATTACTTTTTTTCCGGATATATAGGTGCACTGTTGATCGCTTTTGTTGTGCCAGGTCCGAAAAATAAGCCAACAACACCGTCTCCAAGAATATCCTTTTTATCTTCCATTCCACTTTGCGTAAATTACTATACCACCACTTAAATCGCAATTTTTTGAAATAAAAACACATAATGAAATTGATAGATATTCGATTACTTTGAAAGTTTTCCATAGCAACAATAAAGATGCCTGCAACACTTCAAATTTCACATCGAATCGTCTTTTTTCCTGTCAGAGGAAAAAATAGTGTATACACGGAAGAAATATTAGATTTTTGCTCACAACCTGAAGCTAAAATCTATCACTTTTCTTCCTTGTAGAATAAATAAAAAAAAATTTCTCGATAATGGTCGCAAACGAGTAAAAATTACAAGAGACAAAAAAGTGTTGCCTGTTGCCACGAAAAATCCGACATTTTAGTTTATTTTCAGAAGGCTTGTAATGATCATTATGTAACATAAGCAATAGCCTCTTATGAAAACTGCAGAAAGAAACAATGAATACCAAAGCAAAGCCAAGTAACACTGTTGGTTGTATGAAGTGCAAATAATGAGCATAAAATTTCATTGCGAAAATTGAAAATTCCCAGACATATAATAATAATAATAAAGGTCTTCATTGATCACGATTGGACAAATAATAATGAATAATATAAAAGATAGGGCGAGGTTCAGTTCATTCTAGAATCCTGAAAGGGGTCTAGAATGTCTGTTCTTCCACCTAACCCAGCAAACAGATAGACATCTACGAGAAATAATAAGGAAATTAATGAGAAAAGAAAAAAAAAACACTATGAATGTAATCATTGGTAAAAGACTTCACATATTCAAAGCTATAGCAACTATTGACGACTTAGTAACAATTCGAGTAATCTGGATCTAAATGCACTAGCAGTGGAGTACTTATATTGGGTTATACAACATATTACAGTTGATATGAATTTGCCTGTCAATGTGGGCATCCCACTAATGATCAATCATTTAATTTTTGGGGATTATTAAATGTTTTTAGGCGGGAATATGTTTAGTTTCTATTGTACAAAAGCGATATTTGATAAATATTGTTCCTATAGTTTCATTTTCATCTAATTTGAAATTGTGTATCAATTTGTCGTGACTTTTTTATATGGAAGATTGAAAGATATTTGGTACATTGAAGAGTCAGTCTTCTCACATTCTGAAAAACGATGTTTTCATATGCTTCCAACATCTCCCGCCCCTAGAAAATTAAATGAAACAATCTACACCAAACTTGTTGAACAACAAATACCTATCATCAAATCACTGCTTCAATCAAAGAATAAGATAAATTCTACAGTATATTTCCTGTGAAAACAGATATAACATGATATGAATCATAAATGCAATTCAAATGAGCATCAACAAATTGCATAACAAAAATTCCAAATTCATCAACATTATTTGATTTCTTAACACTATCAAATTAATCTAATGTTTGCATTGATACAAATTCAATGAAGAATCATTCTAGGAAGGGCCAGCATGTGCATTCTGTAAGTGGATATGCATTTTCAATGTCTATCAAGGTGGCATAACATGTGAAAATCAAAGGAAAATAGGGAACTTGTTTGCCCAGAAATATACAATGTGTCCCATTTGAATCAAAACACAAAGAATAATCTTAAAACATGATACTCTGATATGGATATGATGACTGACAATATGCTCACCCTTGTCTTTAACCATGATTATTAGTCATTAATTAGTCATTAATTTTTCAATACTGATCAATTTATTTAATATTAACTTATTGCCAACCTTGATTTTCGTATTTGACTATTAGATAGATACACTGTACAACTATCCTTATGATTTTGTAATTGTGATAGTATTTATGGCCATCTTATGGTTATATATATTTTGTAAATTTGTATATTTTGTTGAAATGATTAAATTGATAAATTGATGTAAATGATAGGGTCGATAGAGTGAACCAAGATAGTGTTGGTACTTCATGTAGAAAGGGGGCTGTTGCAGTTCATTATGGAGTTATTGACTTTGAAAGTTTGAATAAAAAAATATATTTTATTTATAACTTTCAAACTGTTGCCATGGTATTAATGATATTCAGGCAACTATAAATTAACTTATACTAATGCTCCTTGTGATATGTAAATGGCTGTCAGTGATTATGTTTTATACAGGATCGGACGATTTTTTTCTGTTTATTGGAGGCATATGGACTTGTGGAAACTTTCAAGGTCAATAACTTTGTAGGGATGTGCAATAGACATTTTTTTTGTATGAAGTTTTAGCATTGTTTTGGTTCACTCTATCAGCCCTGCAACTACCATGATGTTATTGAATTGGAATTCTATAATGTTCATTCAATATTTCCATGCCTCATGGACAAAAAGTTGTTTGTACTACTCAAAATTCTTCAATAAATTGATCAGAGTGTCAATTTTCAATGAGACTGTGGTAACAAAGAATGTGAATTGCCGCCACCATCAATCCACTTCATATTTCAATACTTTTCCAGGCCTCCTCTGGCAAAAAATTATGGGTGTTTTTGAAATTGGAGGGACAAATAAATGAGGTGTAACCATTCTGGTACAGTGCTACAAATTACCATAAAAAAAGTGTCCTCCTATATGAGGAAATATCAGGTGATTTGTGGATATTGGAAAAAATTGTTTAGGTCATATCCATATCATATTTCATGGTGATGCTTATAAGTAATTTATCAACAATGATTTTATGTAGTTCTTTTTTCAATTGAAATCATCTGCTTTATTGATATGTTGGCTGAGGAGTACCCTAACCAGAACACAGAATACTGAAAATTATAAATGAACACAAAGATATTGTTAAACTCAATATTCCATGACATTCAATCATACTGTGTAAATTATCCACAGTCCATCTTAATTTTCCAGATTAAATACCCCCTGAAATTTACAGGCTTTCAGAAAAGTGACAACCTTCATAAATTAGCCAATAGCAATGAAAATGTGTTGATTTGAAAGTTAAAAATTCACTTTAGCAACAACAAATGACAGTAGAAATGAAAAAACCTCAGAAAATACTTTAACCAAAAATAATAGGAAAAAATATGGAAACAGGTGAGTATTCCTAGAATCAATGAGAATTCCAGACACAACTATACAGGTTTGTAGTAGCAGAATTGATAGAAGATCTTATGTCAAGAAGTACAAGTCCTATTGATTGTAAGGAGCTTTGTTTTCAAGATACAGGGCATTGAATTCAAATATAAATAGAAAATTATGTATGAACTGAAATGCTGCCAGAAAATATGGTTATACAGTAATCTGAATTAGTCCCCTAAACTATTTGACAACTATAGCAAAATTTGAAGTCAAATTTTTTTATTGAAATGTGGAATTTTTTTATTATTAGCTGTTTTATATACCTACTCCTATAATGAAAAACATTAATATTGCCCTAACAATGCCACTGGTATTCATTTCTGCTGAAAAATACTATGGATGTATTTGTTTATATATATCTAGTATTTCTAGAGAATCTCTAGTATTTTAGTTAAGTGATATTCTAGTAACTAGTAATAAGGATTTTTTAAATCTGAATGCACTGTAATTCTTAGGACCAATGTCTATAAATACTTTTTTTCTTAAAATAGGGTCTCCTATCAACTGTTGATGTTTTATTACCACAAAGTGAACTGTATATGGGGCTCTATAATTACGGGATAAACCAAAGGGATAGGTATTCAGGAGAGTATTCAATTCATTTCATCAATCTAATAGAGGCAAACTTAGTAATTAAGCAATCTCATGATTACAATATCAATTTCTACTAGAGGAGAATCTCTCTGTCTATTTCATTCAATCAAAACTATCAATCCACTCATAAGGATGTTCAAAGTCACATAATAGCATTGCAGATGTACAAAAATATATGAACTTTGAGATGAATCGAAAAAGATATCAGGGGTCTGTTTATTATGATTTCCTTCATGATGTTCAACATCATAAAAATATGTTATATTCTTCATAATAATATATAGTTTTATAATATTTGGAATGATATAACTACATATCAGATGAAATTTAGCTAGAAAGCCATTTTAACAAGACATAACATAATTTATTATTTGGAAAATATTATAAAAAATATACTTACGTTTGAATTCATTCCACTCAGCTGTAAGGACAATATTCAAAGCATGTAATTTAGCCCAATCTAAAATCTGTATAACATGGTGAATGCCAAATTGAGAAAGATTCAGCTCTCCAACAATCTTCCAAACTTCTACAATAGATTCAACTTTATTCTGGAATGATTCATTCTTATTATTCAGAATGAACTCAAGTTTCTGGAATGAAGAAAGGTATTTATAATCAATGGATAGAAGTGAACTAATGGAAATGAATGCAACTTTGAAAATAAATGAAACAGAACACTATACATCTTGATAATAATTGACTTGAAATCAGGTTCAAATAAGTTTGGATATGTAACCTTATTCAATAGATCCCAAACATTATCTCAACATCACAAACAGATATAAAATCCAACTTAATAAATAAATAGAAAAATAAATAGAAGCAGTGATTTCAACAATAAACAATGAAAGATGGGAAATGAGAAATATACAATATTATTTGAAATTACATTATGCACCTGTCAGATAAATCAAGGGGCCAACATGACTGGAGCCCTTAGAAGGTACTTATATGATAAATATAACTGATAAAGTTGATTGATTTGTTCTTGATGAAATCACTTTGATTCTATACTATAATAAAAATACAAAATAAGAGAGATACGTGCTTTGAAAGGTGCGAGGTGACATAGGTCTTCTAGAAAACTCATCTTGATGTAAAGGTAGGTTCAAGCAATTAAACAAACAACTATAAAGTAGTTGTTTTGCTCTGGGGACTACCCGGATGGCATATTGTTTGAGGCACTTTATTAAAACTCAGTTCAACAAATGGGCCAACTGTCCAGTTCACGCTTATGTTGTGGTAAATAAATGATGGCCAATGTCTTCAATTTTCTGAACAAATCACTGATGGAACATGGCGGCCATGCGAATGTGAAACTACACACTTTGATCACAACAAACATGCGAAAATCATATGAATTAATGAACTATAAGCACGGATATCGTGTGTTTCACCTTATAAGCATTTAGGAAGTATCTTTCTTGCCCTTTGTTTACATTTGATTCACACTCAAGTTTGTTATCTTCCTCTTGCGACGCCATATTTACACCATATATCTGCACGCAAACGCTTCACGGCTGCGCCTGCGTTACTATTCCATGAATTCAGTCAGTGGTCAGTGCTTGTTGAGTCAGTTGTCACTGTTGTCAGTTCTATGGTGGCTCTATGCGTGAAATCGTGAGTTGCCCATTGCACGATCTCAAGGATAGACTCTAAAAAGATCTTACTTCCATCATTCTACCCTGAGATGTTTATAAGTTAGGCATCTCAATTCTACCTATATTGGTCCATCTACAGAAAGGACGCAAAGCAAAAGAGGCAGGGGCAGGGCGCAACAAATAATCCATGCGGAAGATATTAATCATTCCAGAGTTACGTCATTTAACAGTCGTTGGAGCGTTGGAGGGCAAACATTGTATTTTGTCATATAAAACCAGAATTGTGGGATCGTTTTCCTTGGAGCCTGAGTTGAAACCCAGATAAATTTTATGATTTTGTTTGATGAGTATCTGATTGTAAAGGTGGTTTTATGGATGAGTGGACAGGGCTGAGATGTTTGAAATCTTAGACAGGGCTATGCGTATTGTCAAAACACGTCACATTACTCGTTACAGTTGGAGTGACTATACACCGTGTCCCAGCTAATATGTCCCCCCCTGTAAAAAATCAACCCCGCAATCGAATGACTTGAAATTTGGTCACCCAGTATTTTTGATGTTGCTCACCCGGAATATTCTATTGATCAAATCGTAGGTATACCGGGTCACACCGAAGTGCACCTAAACCTTTCTATATGAATAGGGACACCCAGTTTATTATTCCATATTCAAGTAGAGTTCATTATTACAAATTCAACAATGCCGGGTTTGATGGAATTTTCTTAAACGACTACGAAGATATGGCAAAAAAATTTTATTAATATAACACGATTGAAATCGAATGAAAAAAAAAATAATTAAAACCTCAACTGCTCAATATGTCGTCCATTCTGCTGCAAAGATTTCCTAGTTCTTTAGATAATGTTCATTGTGATCCTATGTATCACGTTGTGATCAATTTGTGCGCATAAATTTGTGATTTTCTTTTTCATTTCTTCCATATTCACAATTGGCGACTCATAAACCTGTTGTTTCAAGTAGCCTCACAAATGAAAATCTAGTGGGGTGAGGCCTGGCGACCGAGCTGGCCAGTTGTTATTACCATCGAGACAATTGGTGGTTATTAGATTTTCTCCAACCGATGGCGAAGATGATCCTTTAGTTATGTGCAGGACTCCCATCATTCGATTTCAATCGTGTTATACTAATAAAATCTAATCATATGATTTTTTTATTGAATCGTTTTATTTTTTGCCATATCTTCGTAGTCGTTTGAAAAAATCCCATCAAACCCGGCATTGTTGAATTTGTAATAATATTGAACTCTACTTGAATATGGAATAATATACTGGGTGTCCATATTCAAATAAGAAAGTTGAGGTGCACTTCGGTGTGACCCTGTATATCTACGATTCATTCAATAGCATATTTCGAGTGAACATCACCAAATATACTGGGTGACCAAATTTCAAGTCATACGATCGCGCGGTTGATTTTTCACAGGGGGGATACGATGTATATTTCACTAATGCGGCCTCGTTGGAATCATCGAAGAGAAAGATGGAAGAGGAGAGAACTTTCCTCTCTTCCGTTCGAGGTAGAAAAGAGCTCAAGACCCTTCCATCTTTCTCTTCGATAATACCAACGTAGCTGCATTGAAATATAGAGAGATCAGATGAATTTGTCCTTGTCTAACATCTAGTTTGTGCCACTGAACTATTTTTGAACTCAGCAGAGAGCCAAATTTAACGATATTAACAAATGACGTCAAAATAAGTATGATATGATTAGAAATTTGGAATTTCATTTAAAAATTTCGAAAGGTTATCAGTCAATGACATTTATGACTATGACATAGACATGTCACATCTTCATAACATCGAAAATAGTTCAGTGACGCAGAGTAGACGGACAAGGAAAGATCACAGAACTCATGTAAGTAATATGAGTTCTGTGGGAAAGATTTATCTGATCTCTCTATATTTTAATGCGGCTACGTTGGTAGCACTGAAGAGAAAGATGGAAGAGAATCCAACAGTGACAACTGACAAGTGACCTGACGTCAAGGATTATCCTTGACGTGACGTGTGTTTATTGCTGAGCAATTTTAGCTTTGGCGATTGATCCTATGGTGGCGTTATTATTGGTCAATTTAAATTGGTAAGCTACTATTGACCAATAATATCATTATCGGTTTCAAGGTTTCATCGCTAGCATCGTCAAAGCGAAAATCGCCCAGCAGTAAACCAAGCATGATCTATCGAAAATGACAGCTTGTTTGTAAAGTAATGCAAAAATCTTAGATCATGTCATCTAATGCAAAAATAATGATAACAGATCATCTTCATCTACATCTCATCCTTGACCAATCATAATACAATACTCATATCTCATCAACCACTTAAAAAATCAAATACTTGACCCTGTTGTGAAAGTTTTTCAAATGGTGTTCATTGAAGTGGAAGGTTTCAGAGAATTCAAAAATTATTTATAATAATAGTATTTTATGGTGATACTGTGATAATAATTATGTGTTGTGTAGAATAGGAATTATTGAATTATTGATAAGTGATTTTTGCAATATGGTATCCCGAAGCAACAAAGTGAATCCTGATTTGATTAGGGAAAGGCAAAACTGTACTTTTGATACCCTAGAGTTGACTCATTTGTTGGATGGTGGAATAGAAAGAACCAATGACAGGAAAAATCGAGGTAGAGTTCCAGCTCTTAACTATCTTTGAAACTTCATGAGAAAAAGCTAACCAGAAATTGTACTTTTCCAGAGAATTTCTTCTTAAATGATCCTGAGTTACAATCAAAGGTACCATCAGAATATTTGAGCCACAAAGAGAAATATGAAGAAGCTGTTAAAAAGGCTGCAATTATATTCAGAAAAGTACAACAACTTCAAAATGAAGGCAGAGGAGGGATGGACAATTTTAGGTATTTTCAATGTAATTTTATAGTGATAGTAGCACCAATTTAGTATTGCTACCACACCCATGAGATTATATCTATTGATACTGAAAATTACCTAATTTGTGGACTTATGGAACCTTACCTACCTTGAACTCTGGATTGGTATACAAATTTACATAACAGAGATACCAGATACCTAATAATCATTCACTATTTATTTGAATTGTTTCACACCCATCTCTATATCATATTCATTAGGCTAGAAAATAAATGAAATTTTCTTCTTTTTTGTCTCAAAGCTATAAGTAGCTGAATGAAATACTCATGATCATGGATCATGGTATTTTTTGTCCATATAATATATATGTATAATATATTACCACAAATTAGTTGTATTTTCTCAGAGAGATTCTTGGGGGCCAACTTGGTTCTGCTATTCTGAAAGATGGCAACCCACTTACTCTGCATTATGTTATGTTCATCCCAACATTAATGGGCCAGGGAAATGTTGAACAACAGGCAGAATGGATACAAAGAGCATGGAGTTGTGACATAATTGGAACTTATGCACAGGTGTGTTTTTTATGATTCTTGTGTAGGACAATCCAAGATTAATCAGCAATCTCTTTCAGACTGAATTGGGTCATGGTACCTTTATAAGAGGACTTGAAACTACTGCCACTTATGATCCTACAACAGAAGAATTTGTACTCAATAGTCCTACCATAACTGCATACAAATGGTGGCCTGGGGGATGTAAGTCATGCTAAATGCAAAAACAAAACAAAACTGAATTTATCATACTTTTTGTTTTGATTCTTTATAAATATACATCAAGGTATCAATTATGATTGAGATTGAAAATGTCAGAATTTAGAGGATGTCAAAGTTAATTTTATACAGGGTGTATCTGAATAACACCAAACACATTTAAGGGACTATTCTGTGATGAAAATAAAGGTCTGTGTTTGATATAGAAAAACCTCTTCCCAGACAAGTTACAACCTTCTGAAAATGAGAAAAAAAAAAGGTTTTTCTTTTTTATCCCCTGTAAGTAAATCTAAAGACATGAAACTTGGTAAATAATATTTGTCAATAAAACTACACATTTTGTAATGTTTTAAACTATGAAGTATGTTTAGAAGGGGTTGGAACATTCAACCCCTGAAATATTTTGGACAAAAGAGTTTCTTTAAAAAAACATGGCAAATCTCGGGGAAATGCTTAAGTTTTCGGAAAAACTTTCAGAGATATAAAAGTTAGTAAATGAATTGGGCTTTTCAGCCACGTTTTTTCAAAAGGAAAATTTTCGTTAAAAAAAAGTTGTAAGAAAACATACCTTGGGGGTTGAAAGTTTCAACCCCTTCCAAGCATACTTTAGGGTAGGAAAAATTTCAAAATGTGTAGTTTTATTGAGAAATAACATTCAGCAAGTTTTGGGTCTTTAGCTTCAATATACAGGGAAAATAAAAAAGAAGAACCTTAATTTTTGATCACAAAATCACCCCTCGATTTTTTTCGGTGTTATTTAGATACACCCTGTATATCCATCAAGTGAAATAATAGGTATGACAACATGTTGAAGTTATAATTATTTTATATTTTATAATCTCACCCATGATGCCAATAATTAACAACTCATGAACATCAATGAGATGAAAACAAAAATATTCCAAATAGGTAAATTACTTCCATTTATAATTCATCCTGAAACAGGTCGATTTTTATTTCCAATTTGCCACATTTATAAGGAAAAATCAAATATACAGGGTGATCCACGTTTGAGTTATGACGCACGCGACATTTTTTTAAAATGTAACACCCTATATATTATTCAATTTTCAGGCTCTCCATGGAAAACTGAATTCGAAAATATATTACACATGGGGTTTGTATACAGTGTGTCCGTTGAATTGAGTGCTTTCTTTCTTATAGTAGTAGAGATATTTTCATATTAAGCCAAACTATCCATGTTTGAGAAATCTCCTGAAACAGGTCAGATATTATTTTCAATTTGTCACTTTTATTAGGAAATATCAAAAATACAGGGTGTTCTATTTTTGTGTTCAGCATTTTTTTCAAAGAGAACACCCTATATATTATTCAATATCTGGTAAAATGGAGTGAGTCACCATAAAAAAAAAATCCAATGACGTAATTTCTCCTACATGAATCATTCTGTATGTATTAATTGAATTTGAAGGAATGCTCAAATAAAAATGAAATTCTATGGCTTCAAGCATTCTTTTTTTCTAAATTAAAGGATGCACTGAGTCAGACCCTGTATGTGATGTATTTTTGAGTTCTGCTTTTCATGGAGATTTTAAAAATTGTCAAGGTCATAACTCAAATGTAGGTCACCCTGGATATTTAATTTTTCCTTATGACTGTATCAAATCTGTTGAATAAAAATCGACCTATCTAAGGGTATTTCTCAGAAATTGATAGTATGAATGAAAATAAAATTTATTCACTACTTCACAAGAGCACTCAATTTAATGGACACACTACGGTATATAAATCCTATTTGTAATACAATTCGTGAATTCAACTTTCCATGGAGATTCCAAAAATTGATTAATATATAGGATGTTCCATTTAAAAAAAATTGTCTTGGTCGTCATTACTCAAACGTGGATCACCCTGTATATTCAATTTTTCCTTATAAATGTGGTAAATTGAAAATAAAAATCGATCTGTTTCAGGAGATTTCTCAGAAATGAATAGTTTGGCTAAAAATGAATGTATTCAGCACTTTATGAAAGCACTGTATATTTAGCATTTATGGCTTATTTATTCAAACTTGAAAATTATTTAATTATTCTCCCTTTAAATTTCATTAAATTGAATACTCCACCCTGTATGTTTTCAATATCATATGATAACTTGGTAAAAAATACTTTCAATTTTTTCAATTGGTACAGAAATAACAAAGTGACAGAGAAACATTCACTTCATATGTATTTCATGACGTTAACAGGGTTTCCAATAATAAGGGCCTAGTAGCATTTGATAGTTATCAAATTCGACACCTTTTTCATATAATGATTTCAATTCTGGCATATTTCAATTTGGCATTAGAAGGAAAATACCACAAGTTCAAATATCATCTTGTAGACCATCATATGATGCTACAATCATTTACATAAACCTGGCATGTGATAACTTGAGGTAGATGGAAAGTTTAAATAATGAAAAATCAATGAACTGTTTTGATTTTTTAGTGGGACATTCAGCAAACTATGCTGTGGTTGTAGCACAACTTTATACTCTGGGTAAATGCTATGGAATTCATCCATTCATTGTTCAGTTGAGAGATGAAGAAACACACCATCCTCTACCTGGAATCAAAATTGGAGAAATTGGATGTAAATTAGGAATGAACAGTACGAACAATGGGTATTTAGGGTTAGAGAATGTAAGGATACCCAGAAAACATATGTTGATGAAGAACAGTCAAGTTTTAACTGTAAGGACAGTAGCTATGATAGATGGAACTATTGTCTATATTGAAAAATATGTTTCAGGATGGTACATATGTAAAATCTCCAAGTAGTAAATTGACATATGGTACCATGATTTTTGTGCGAGTAGTGTTAGTACAAGATGCTGCCACCTATCTTAAGAAAGCATGCACAATTGCTACTAGATATAGTGCTGTAAGGCATCAATCACAAATAAAACCTGAGTAAGTAATTCACATATTAGAAACTAGGTCAAGTGTGTTTTTTTTGTTGAGGTGGTTTAAATCCTTTATGGACACCATATGGGTCCTATCCCCCATATGATAGTGTGGGACTCCCCTGACTCTAGCCAGGGTTCAAACACTAAAAACTCCACCCCGGTTGTAGGCTCGTCTGACCATGTCTCCGACGACACTTTGGCCTATGGTGGCCCATTGTATCTTACCTAATGTTCTTTATTGTGCTCACTCCATTATCTCTGTACCTTGAACAAGTCTGTACAAATCATTCACTGGATGTGAGTTGAATATTTCTGGTTCGCCAACTGGTTGCCCAAAGATCTTCTGTCTTCTGCTGTCCAATGCCTCACATCGGCACATTATATGTGCTACTGTTTCTGGTTCCTTGCCACATAGTCTGCAGCTACCGTCCCATTGTGGCGAGATGCTCCTTTACTGGCGCATGGCCAGTCATGAGTCCCGTAACAGTTTTTATCTGTGCTCTGTTCAAGTTGAGCAGGTCTACAGTTCGTTTTGTCTTTAACTGACACTCGTTCTGTACGTTTTGATACTCCAAGAGTCTGTCCTGGATCTGGCTCGGCCAGTCATGAGTCCCGTAACAGTTTTTATCTGTGCTCTGTTCAAGTTGAGCAGGTCTACAGTTCGTTTCGTCTTTAACCGACACTTGTGCTGTACGTTTTGGTACTCCAAGAGTCTGTCCTGGATCTGGCTCGTTGTCCGACCGTCTTCTTGCAAGTTCGTCAGCCTTCTCATTGCCAGCGATCCCCTGATGACCTGGCACCCAGATTAGCTTGACGCAGTTCCGGTCTGTCAGAGTTCTCAGTTCCCTCTTGCAATCCCATACCAGTCGAGATGTCACTTCTTGGCTTTCTATTGCCTTAAGTGCCGCTTGACTGTCTGACATAATACGGATCTGCTGGTTTTCCACAGCTCTCCTGTTATTTTCTTCCGCACATTGGAGAATTGTGTACACCTCTGCTTGGAAAACTGAAGCATACTTCCCCAATGAGTAGCTCAAGTGTTGATTTATTTGCTTTCAGTGATCCTGAACCCCAAATTATGGACTTCCTAACTCAGCAATATAAACTATTTCCATTTATTTCTGCAAGTTTTGCCTTCCAGTATGCTGCCACTTGGTTATGGAATACCTACAATAATGTAACAGGGGAACTAGAAACAGGACAATTAGATAATCTTCCAGAAGTAAGAAATAACAACATTTATACCAGGTGTCCCATAAGTCATGGATCAAAAGAAATGGGATGGTAGAGGGGGTCATTTGCAATCAAACTAACCATATATGTGGTTATCCATATGAAGATGGTTCAATGGTTATCAAATGTTTATGATAAATATGACAAAAAATAATTACATAAAGGCTGTTTTGAATAATCTGTATTGAATTTAAAAAAAAAAAGTAAAATTGTTCTATCCCTCATTAGGTTGCCCCCTTACGAGCAACCCTCAGAAGTCTTCGAGAGTCTTGTGCGATCAAGGGATGACGGGGGCCTTACCTTTTAACGTGTGATCCCAAACACTTTCTTGGGCCATCAGAAAAATTTCTGCAGTCGATGGGAATCGAACCCACGACCGGCAAGCGAAGCGGATTAGAATATGTACACTCTGTCCGCACGGCTACCTGGCCCGTTTGGGATTACTTTTTCTTATAGTTGGTTATCTTTTTGGGGTAGTTTTTAAATATGAATTGAGTATTTTATTCAACATTTTTTTGAATTGATAAGAAGTAAGACACAGGCCATGAGAAGTATTTCTGGGGAACAGTATCGTGAATGTGACATGGTTACATGGTAATTACTATTTTTTAGAAATGAAAAGACTTTATAACTTTTGAACCATCAACAATAATTGGATAATGACCCCCACATTTCTTTTGATCCATGACTTATGGGACACCCTGCATAATAGGCACCAATATTTCAGGTAAATTTTGAAACTCAATATCTTCCAAAATAACTTTTTTTCTGCAAAAATATACAATTGTGTAAAACTGGCCAATGCTTTGTATTTTTGTCAACCTATGACAACTGTGAACATTTGATTAACAATCATTCCTGATAGCCCGTTTCGCGCAAAAATGTTTTTTTTCCGCGCCAATTTCAGAAATACCTTGTACTTGAGTGTTTTTTTAAATAAATCTCTCGAGAATATTATGAAATTTAGGAGAGCTCCTATGAATCTCTTTTCCAAACTTTAAGCTCTACAGAATAGAATACAGGACAGCCCAGTAAAATAACAAAATTAATTGTTCTCAAATTAACCACTCATTGAATCTTGAAATTTACAAAAATTGCATAATATGAACAAAAAATATTCTTCAGGCATAATGTGGATAACTTTTTGTCAAATTTTCCTACCTAATTCAAACTATGAATGAAAATTCTACACCAATGTAAATGTTATCATTGCTTTTAGCTACACAGCACTGCTTGTGCTTTAAAGGCTGTATCTACAGCAGATGCAGCAAGAGGTATTGAAATTTTACGCCTAGCTTGTGGAGGTCATGGCTACATGACATCTTCTAATTTACCTTCCACTTATGGCCTTGTTACTGCTATGTGTACATATGAAGGCGAAAACACAGTTCTCCTATTACAAACTGCTAGGTTCCTCATAAAAATATGGCAGAACAAACAGGATATTCAGAACTTACCTACAGTTAAATACTTGGAGACAGCTCTCACATTGAATAATCCATTTGAAAAATCTGTTAAATGGATCATTTCTGCTTTACAACAAACAGCTGCAAGGTAACATTTTTCATAGAATCATGGAATTAGATGATTTATATGCTCTTTGTTTTTTAGTAAAATTGATTTGGCCAATAGGCACATTAATGATAGGGTGCAGGCAGGTCAAGCATATGAGACAGCTTGGAACAATACCTCTATCGAATTAGTGGCAGTTGCTGATATTCATGGAAGAACTATTATAGTAGAAACATTCTATAACACAATACAAAGCCTTAAGGGGACTGTTTCACCACAGTTAGGAACTGTTCTTGAACAACTTCTGGAGTTGTATGCAGTTGACACGGCTTTGAAATGTAGCGGGGATCTACTTAGGGTAAGAAATAATTTAACTCACTTGTGTAACTAACTGCATGTAACTGTATGATTTCTAATGATGAAACATTGTTTGTACTAAATCATGAGCATTGAAACAACAAACTTTGGAATTTTCTCTCCTCGTCTTTATAAATAAAAATATAAGTCACTCAGAAAACGGGCACACAGTCGTTGCCGAAACGTCCAGGACAAGTAAATATTCTTCTCCAAACATTTTTCAAAGGAATATTTATAAAACGATTATTGATTATTAATCATTTTACTATTCATCTTATTTTCTCATATTACATAGAAAGATTTCAACAGATGCTAGAAACAGAAAAAGTGAAAAAAGTTCATTTGAACATGAGTTCAGAAATGACCCCTGGGGGGTTATAGCCAGCTAAATGAAAGCCCGAATTTATTGATGGTTTTATGTGAATATTTTCAAACCCCTCTGTGATACAATACCCAAATATTTTACTAATTTCATTATACAATCTATTACTCTCGAAAATGGTGAGTGCCATGGAAACTAAAAAGGAGTACTATAGTTCAGTCAGAGATTATACACTGTGTATAATTTCTGGTTCAGTAAAAATGATATTTTCATATTTCCTGGTCAAACTGCAAAAAATTGCACAAACAAAGAAGTTGAATTTGGACTCAATTTTGACCCACTTTAAACGGACAGATTGATTTGAAATTTGGCAGGTGTACATAGTTCTGGTGACAATGCATCATGGAATTTTTTTAGACAAAAAAACAAAATGGCGGACGAGTTTTGTAATTATGACCCGATTCTATTCAAACTTGGTATCTAGGGGTTTTTCGAGGTCGGAGGTTCCGATTCTTTCGTCAAAATTGATTAATTCAAGATGGCGGATCCAATATGGCGGACGGGTTTTGTAATTACCGTTTCTATTTAATATTGATAACTGGGGTTTTGGGGTCGGAGATTATAATTCTTTCGTCAAAATTGGTAAATTCAAGATGGCGGATCCAATATGACGGCCGAGTCTTGTGAAAATGATCAGATTTTTTTCAAAATTGGTATCTGGGGGTTTTCGAGGTCGGATATTATGATTCTTTCGTCAAAATTGGTAAATTCAAGATGGCGGATCCAATATGGCGAAAGAGCTTTGTAATTATGATCCGAATCTATTCAAAATTTGTATCTGGGGGATTTCGTGGTAGAAGATTATGATGCTTTCGCCAACGGCGGATCCAATATGGCGGACGATTTTTGTAATTATGATCTGATTCTACTCATAATTTGCATTTGAGGGTTTTCTGGGTTAGAGATTATGATTCTTTCTTCAAAATTGGAAAATTCGAGATGGGGGATCCAATATGATGGACGAGTTTTGTAATTATATGATCCGATTATTCTCAAAATTGGTATCTGGGGGTTTTTGGGGTCGGAGATCAGGGCGCTTTTGTCAAAGTTGGAAAATTCAATATGGCGGACGGGGTTTGTAATCATGATGCTATTAAAAATTAGTACCTGGGAGTTATCGGGGTAAGAGATTATGCTTCCTTTGTCAAAAAACACGCTTTTCGAGACGCATTTTTGGTTAGCTGAACTAAAAAATAGAAAATAAATAGTAGTTTGAAAAGCTGATGAAACACCCTTTTATAGATGGCCAAACTGAAGAGAAGTAGAAAATGAAATAATAAAAGTGTGTTGATAAATACACAACACACTTTTATTATTTTATTAGATTCTTTTCAGTTTGGCTATCTATTAAAGGGTGTTTCTTTAATTCTTTAAACTACAGAGGGTTTCAAAAATATTTACAAAAAACCTTTTTATAATTTTTGTTCCTAGAATCTGTGGTTCAAATATGTCTATGTAATGTTTTTTCAAATCCGCCGCGGCGGCCAGATTTTCCTATCAATATAGATAAAAATTCAATACTACATTTTAAAGAATAAAGAATTATTCCGAGGTATTGATAGCTTCCACCATGATCTATTACATGAAACATGTATCTTTTGCTGAACGTATACAAGGAGGGGGTGAAACAAATTTCAGGAATTGAAAATCAGATTTAAGAACCTTTCCCTGAAATCGTTCCAACGGTTTTCAATAAAAGGAATATTTGCAACTTTTTCAGTTTACGGCACTTGAAGGAAGACATATGGTAGTTCTTCAGGCATGGATGGAAAGCCTTTTAGCTGCCATCAGGCCAAACGCAGTGGGAATTGTTGACAGTTTTGACTTCCGTGATGAGGTGCTCTCATCAGCCCTGGGGGCTTATGATGGTAATGTTTATGAACGATTACTGGAAGAAGCCCAGAAGAGCCCTTTGAATGAAGAGCCAGTGAACAAATCGTTCGATTTGTATTTGAAACCGTTTATCAAATCAAATTTGTAAATATCAACTATAAGTAATTGAGGGACCAGTCTAATGACTAATTTGGCAATCCAAATGTATTTTTATATATCAAAACCGTCCTGTTGAGAGCAGATAAATCAATAAGTGGGTATTCAGTTTTAGTTAAAATAAATGGTGTTGATATTTGTTGAATAAAAATTTAAAAACACTACACATTGATGTTGGTGAATTGGTTGTGTAAAAGTGATCATGTTATGAAATTTTATTTTTGTAATAGTTGGAATGTATTTTATATAATGTTGATGTGTTGAAATGTATGTTACATGAAATTAAATGAATTTGAATGTTGAATATATTGGCATCAATTCTTATTCCTCCAAGAATATGGTGAACAATTCAAGATCAAATCATTGACAGTTTTTCACACTTGAATTTAAATATAAATAGTAAACTATCTCTCCAAGTTGCGTTGGAACGAAAATGGAAGTTGTCATTTTGATCTGGTGACTATGACGTAAAAAAGATTTCATCTTGACCCATGGGATGGATTTGCTTAAAAAGGTATATTGAAAATTGAGGAAAAAAATAAAAAGAATTTGAAATACATATTTAATAGTGTAAAAAAATATCACTAAAGAATACACTTTTATATAAAAAGCTTTGAATTCACGATCACATTACCAAAAGTATAAGGGAAATCTCAAGCTTCTTAATAGGAATATATTACAATAAAATTCAGTTCCAGAAGTAAAAATAGAAATCTAAAAAACATATTTGCATAAATAACCTGTACTTTCACTAACATTTTGTATTATTGAATTTGAAAAATTGAGACATCAATATTTTAAATACAAAATTTTTAGGTAGCTTATTTAAAACGTGTCTGCGATTTCATTAAAATATGTCAAATTTAAATAGTTTGATTGCAATAAAAATAGATATATTGATATATCATTTAGGTAGACACATTTTAAAGAAGCATGGTACTACATGTATAAGATTGTAAAAATTGTTCACAATAAAAAATTATACCTAACACAATCTAATAATGTATAATCGATGAATTTACGTCTAGGTAGTATAAACACTTTTATAAATCCGTTACTCTATATGCACAATTCATATATTTACAAAAAAAAAATAGATAAGATACAATGCAGTTTGTTCATATCGAACTTAATTAACTAAAATAGTAACATACAAATCACTGGATTTGAAGACTATTCCACATTAAATAATGTATACATATATGTATGTATATAAATTACTATTTCTTTATATAAACAACTGACCAAAGAATTACTCCATTACAAGAAAGATCTTCGATCTTCTTATTCCCTGTTTGGAAAGGTTTACGCAAAACAATGGAATATTCGAGAAAATAAACAAATTGAAAAGAGAGCATCAGGTAATATACTCATGGAAATTTATAAGGAATCACACAAAATTGTAGGTAGTAATATTTGTAAGCGAATCATTTCTGATCGCTACAAGCGATTTAGATAAACTTTTTTTTCGTCCTTATAGTACATTATTGGGCCATATGCTAGGGCAGTTTATTAGTCATAATACGTAACTAGAGATAATATATACCGGGTGATTCATGCACAGGTGTAGTTTACATGAAATTCAACCGCATCTCAGTTGAACAGCAAATTCTAAATTAATGCTCATCATGTCAAATGGTGGTCCTTTGTGCTTGAAAACATGATTTTCGAAAATCGTTAGCTCTATTGGTTTTCAAGTTATACCGATTTTTCTAAACACTTGCATTTCGAATGATATTATGATTGTCAATTGTTTGTCGGCTTAGACCGGCCAGATCGTCTCGGCAGAGTGATAGATGGGGCAAAATTTGCTAATTGTGCCGATTGCTCTCAGTGCTTTTCCGTTTATTGAGCCAAAGAAGGCTATGAGCGAGCTGGAAATGGCGGATATTTCATATTGCATGATCCCTAAATAGGCACTACCACGACTACATTTGTATAGGTTTCCTCTTTTGAGATTGATGTAATGGATCAGGGTTTCCGTTTTTCATTTCTTCACATGCGAAGGCAATCAAAATATCTTGCTTAGATTCAGATGAACCAATTTTCTCTTGTGTTGAAATTTGTACCATATAGACAAACTACATGTAAGTATGTATTGACATAAACGTCTGCTGAAGACTGAATGTGTCGATTACAAGAGTCTAGCTATACCAGTGTATCTTTGAAGGTTACATAAGGTAATATGAGGAAGGAAAATATCTCTTCTGCATGAAAAAGGAAAGTACTTTCAACCTAACATTTGCTTAATGAACCTTTTACCTGAAAAGTATGGGATACTTTGAAGCGATTTTTGTACGCTCGGGTAATACCTCCCAGAATTATTGATGAATTCGTTGATTCCGTGTATTAAACACCTGTGCGTGAATCACCCGGTATATTATCTTTAGTAATGTTTCACGACAAATATCCTGCCCTAACATGCGGCCCAGTAATGTATTATTAGGAAAATGAAATGTATTCGAAATCGCTTGTAGCGATCAGAAATTATTTGTTTACGAACACAAATTTGTTCGAGTCGTTTCAAATTTCCATGAGTGTAGTAATCACATGTTAAGCCAGGTTAAACTTGTCACATTTGAAAGTATCTTGTGTTAACAACTTAATGTTTGTAATGTAGCTTGAAAGCTTAGATATTTGCATGTTTGTTTAATTTTAATATGATTGTATGACATGCTCTATACCTTTCTTTAGGAGTTAATAACGATTTTTCTTTCTTTTTTGAAGGAACTAAGTGTTTCTCAGATAGATCAACGAACGTTATATGCATAATTAGTATTTAAACAGTTAATTATATTGGAACATTGAAAGTTTGAAGACCAACTCAATCGTCATCTACAGATCATATTCGTATTTATTATTCATCGCAGTATTCGCAGTTTCTAAAAGCTGCTGAAATCAGAAACTGGACAATTTCTATAACAAACAGACTTGAGAATGAATGAAAACTCTGATATCCATTTGTGTCGGGACCAAGGTATTGATTGTTTAAAATTTGAAAAAAAAGGAACATACAGTAGTGTAAAGTACATTTTTTGTCAGTTGAATACATGTACATTTCACAACAGTCTGTTTTTTCTTAACCGATTTTGATGAACTTTTCATCATGACATGGGGGGCAAGAATCCATTCCGATCAATAAATCATGCATATTTGGACCAAAAATATGGCAATGCAGAATGGTATAGCGTCTATCATGATATACTTTCACCAGAAGTTATTTTTTTATGAAAATATTTGGATCTCTTTGAGAAATGGATGGTTTTCATGATTTACGATTCCCATACTTACTTTCATTTCAAGCTTCAAGTTTATTCGATTTCACTGTGTTAACCAACCAAACCTCCACACATTCTCAGGAGTATCTTAAAACAGTTTCAATCTCCTGAAGATTCTAACGATACACATGTCAAGCCATTAAAAACTCGATTGGCTTGATAGTAAAACTGAAAATATGTTTGCATTACCTGAATAAACATTGGGAAAAATCAACTAGGTGAAATTCGAGATATAAATCAAATGGTTCTCATTGAAGTCGTACAGTATACAAAGTGTCCCAAAACTTTCAGACCAGCAGTTATATGCTGGCCCAAATGCTTCGAGACTTTATTTCAAGTTTGAAAAAAATTAACAATGACCAAATCTGAAAAGTATTCAAGAATATGAATCAGAAAGTCAAAACGAATTGATCACTGAGTGTGTTGTGAAATGTTGAAAGAGTAATTATATATAAAGGTACAGAAGACATGTCTCTAAGCCGGCTGGATTAGTTCTCGAGATTCTTCAGCATCGAGGGAATAAGGAAGCGAGGAAAGAATAGTCTTCTGTATAGTGGATTATGTATTAGTTTTTCCACTACTATCTACTACTACTATTTTGCTTCTTGTCAATAATTCATGTTGTAGTAGGAGTGTAAAGTTCATTATTGACCAGACGATTTCTCAGGTCGAATATAGCAAACGGTGTGCTCGTTCTAGAGGTAGTAGTGGAAGAACATCTATATTTATCTACTAAACTAGGCTAACCGGACCGAACAGAAGTGCGCTAGTAGCGCCACTGCGAGTATGCACTGTCCTTGTCACGTCCCATCAGCGTAGGCGAGGCACTCGGAAAGGAAACTAGCGGCCGCTGGAGGGTAAGTACGCAATACGCATCCAATCACAGTCACCTGATCGTGCGCCATATCACAGTATAACACGCTCAAAAACACAAACATGCTTTTCGATCGTTTCTTTTTTTGGATAAAATCCATACCTATTACAAGATGCTACGCAGATCAAAATATCACTGTCGTCAAGGAAAATTACGGTGATTTTTGTTAATATTAACCTCGACTAACTACACTAACAAGATGAACCATCCTTATGAAATCAATGATGTTCTAAAAATTGCTCAAGTTATACTATATAAAAGTGGAGATCTGGACTCACCCCAGAATTACCGACCTATATCTCTCCTGCCAATCATATCAAAAATACTGGAAAAATGTACGGCCATCAGAATCACAAAATTTTTTGAAGAGAATAAGTATTTCACAGACTGTCAGTTTGGATTTAGGAAAAACAAGAATACTGTATTAATATTGGATCTAGTGTCATATATTCATGAGGCTTTTAATAATATAGCATTTACAAGTGCCTTGTTCTGTGATCTGAGCAAGGCGTTTGATGTGTGTCACATGAAATTCTTTAACAAATAGAAAACAAACTGTGAAAGTGGATAGTGTCTCATCGGCACCTAAGGACGTCACAATCGGGGTGCCCCAAGGCTCAGTTTTGGGGCCCATCTTGTTTCTAAATACATATAAATGACTTGCCATCTATAGGACCGGGAGCGAAATTCACACTATTTGCGGATGATACGACGGTGGCCATATCAGCGAATACACTAGAAGAGGCTCTAAGGAGTATAGTAGATATTCAAAATATTATCCAGAGTTGATTCTGTGCCAACAAACTTCTACTCAACACCGGGGAAACAAATAAGATTGTTTTTTCAACTAGGGACATGGGTGTGACTAACAGTGACGTAAGTAGTGTGAAATTTCTGGTGGTACAGATTTACCCACTGCTGCAAAGGGGTATGCATATTGATGGGGTTGCAGGCAAACTGAGGAGTGGCTTGTTTGCTCTTCGCACTCTAGCCGGCAATATCTCTATTTCTTCATTGAGGACAGCTTACTTTGAAATGTTTCATTCTGTGATGTGCAGTGCGATATTGGTATGCGGGCACGTACCACAGTCAAAGAGAGTATTTGCGTTGCAAAGAAAGGCTATGAGAATTATTGCAGGTCTGGGATATATGATGGATGACTGCCTGAGGTATCTGATGGTGAGCTTGGTGTGTTGACTCTGACATGTGTATACATACTCGAATGCCTGATAATGTTCACAAGAATAAAAATTTATATAGGAGTCATGCTGAAAATTACGAAATTCAGACAAGAGGTAGGAATAGATTAATACCAGTCCATCAACGTCTAACAAGGTGTCAAGACGGCCCTGGGTACTTGGCTGTAAAATTTTACAATAAAATTCCTATAAACTAAGAAATTTAAAAGTTTACTCAATCAATGCTAGTTTTATTCATTTGATGAATTTTTAAACTATAACTTCCAATACGAAACTAATTTTAACATAACATAACTTTTAGGTGTAGGTACAGTGTCTGAAATCTTGTATTATTATATATTTCATCTTTTGTAATAGTAATTGAATTATATATTATAACTTGACGTGTGTACAATTATTGTATGTTAACATAAATATCGTTGTTGAGTAGCGAAGCTTAGAGATCGGTAATGCAGAATATATACGAAGTTTATATTTAGATGTTTGTATGCAAGAAGGAATATCGCATCAGGGCCGGATTAAAATATTTTATTATTCAAAAGTTAGAATATCAAAGTTACTGATTTTACTGCATCAGAAAGAAGGATATTCCCAGATAGTTCAGCAACTTGCAGATGGATGGATTCGAGCAGATTCTGATAGTAGACAAATCGGCCATATTCTGCTGAGTTTCGCTATCGCCGCCAACGAACTAGCCAAGAAGTAAGGCCAAATTTGGCTTCAACATTCAACATGGAGTCGATCATCTTGTTAGTGTCGATAGTCAAAGATATCAAAGAAGCTTTGAGATTGATTCAACAAAAATATCAGCGTTACAGGGTGAATTCATATTGTATCGGAAGGTTGATTTAGTGTTGCGAAGATGGTAGGATAGCTAATTCAAACTGCATCAAGTCAAATATCTCTTGAGAAAACCAAATGTGTATAAAAAACGTACGTGTTTCACTTAAATGATATTTATTACTGTTCCGTCCATGTGCCTGTTTATTTTGTATCAGAAGCAAAAATACATAACCAAGGTGTCATGTTTTTATGATTCGATCACCGTTAGACTTTGTACTTAGGTATGTTTTGTTTGATGCAGACCAAATGAGCTCTCTTAGTCACCTCAAAACCTGTGATTTTGATATAAAACCATATATAAGTTTGATTTCGTTATCTATGATTGTTCATTCTGTGAGATTTATGCACTAATTGTTGACAAATACCCAGAAATACCATCACCATAACATTTCAAGTTTCCTCCTATTGAATATCTACAAAATCCCAAGCAGACAATGAATTTTTATTTTCGTGTGTTTCTGGCCATATATGTGGACAAAGCTCTGTATTTGAAAATTCTACTCACATTGTATAGGTTATTGAAACGGAAAAAAATCACTTATTGATAACAAGCCATTTACAGCATAAAATGACTCACCCTATAAAGATAGAAAGACTGGAAATATTATACATACATAACTATCAATGAACAATTTGAAGCTAGTTAATGTGATGTTTTAGAATATTTTTGGTTTATGCACATAAAAATAATGAAACCTGCATGGTCTGTAACACATTATGAAAACAGTGTGATAATACAGCTTGGAATACATTTTTTCCCGATACTAAGAGGATTTTCAAGAAAAAAACGCGTTTTTTTCACTGTTGGTAACTTATCGTAAAAAAAAACAACCCATTTGATAAAATTGCCTGCTACACACATTGCCAATACTAGATTCTTTGCAAACCTAGGTAATTACGGTGATTTGTTTCAACAAAAATTTATGTCAAAAATCATAGCTCATCTAGATACCCAATCCAAGATATTACCAATAATATTCTAGATATAAAGAGACATATATCAAGCAAGTGAAAGTCAAGTCAAATTTTGAATGGATATTTCAATGTATGTCATATAGTAAATAGGAGATTGAAACTGGATGTGATAATGAAGGAATTATTAACATGAGTTGCTCCAGTTAGATCCCAATTGGAATTAAATTGAGTTTAATATCAGAGGAGAATCGAATGAAACAACTACAAATATATAGAAATATACCATGATTGTGAATCATTAAAAATTCAACATATTGCCAATTCCTAAACTGTTGGCCACTTGAAGGGAATAATTATGTCAGACATTTTGAAATAACATTTTTTAATAAAGCATTAGGTATCCAGATGTTATATTTGACATGGTAATACATTTGCTCCAAAATAGAACCAATCATAGTTGTGAAACTACCACTTCAAATAGATTAAGTATTCTTTTCTCAAAATATTTTTTCTTCAAGATTTCTGTGGAAAATTCACATTATTCATTACCATTGGACAGCAGATTATATCTGCTTTGATCGCCCTGCAACTTTTTCAATTATTGTCCGATTCTGATGAAATATCGACCAAGTCGTGGATTTATTATTAAAAATAACTCTTTCTTAGAAGATAATTCAATAGCTACGACTCACCCCTTTAGAAAAAAATGAGGTAATTCCTCAGGACTGCTTGAGAAATTTGAACAACTATGCCAGGGCGGTTAAATGCAGTAATTCATGTTGAGGAGGTCATATACTCATTGACTACAGCTAGTCTGCTTTTCGTTATTAGTAATTAAGGTTTCTCTTTGCTGATGGTGAGTACTAAAAAACGTGGTGGAAATAAGTGAAATCAATTTCTGTTGTTAATCGATAAGTTCATGTGTGTTCTGCATATTTGAAAAATCCATACTTTCTAGGAATGTTAGGTTTAACCACTCACATTCTCCACAGCATGAAATAGTAAGTTTTGTTTTTTCCTGTATAGTGATCAGGACATCAGCTTTTTATACTCATAAATACTCAAATACTCAAATACTCAAATACTCAAATACTCAAAATACTCAAATACTCAAAATAAAGCCCCCGTCATTCCTTGCTCGCACAAGTCTCTCGAAGACTTCTGAGGGTTGCTCGTAAGGGGGCAACCGAATGACGGATAGAACAATTTCAGAACAATTTTAGTCAGTCTACGATTTGGTTGGAATTTCCCAAAAATCGAACTAAAATTGAAAGTTATTTGGCTGAATTTTTTGGTGGCCGGTTTTTGTCAGTGAGTGTGGTGAGATACCTAGGTTTGAAATGATATCTGAAGAAATCACAATTGAACTTTTGAGAGTCAAAGCAATCCAAACACTAAATACGCAGGAACTTTGCAAACATTTGAAATCTCTAGAATTATGTCACCTGAATAGTATAGCATCATAAGATTACCATAAAAAAATAAATATTATATATTACGAACGGCAGCACAAACCTTTACGAATTGACATACAGTTTTCTCATTTGGATCGGTGAAAAGCATGCGTGTGAACATTACGCTTGTAATCAGGGCACCAAGGTTCTAGGCAGCAGGGGATCAGGTGACCGTTGAGGTCAGCAAGTCATTGTTTCATCCCCCCCTAATGTGTAAGCAACGTTTTCCACTTTCTGCGCCAAATGTAAGCGCCGACAATTGGGGTCTGTACTGAGAGCTTCGAGAATCTGAGGAAACAAACATTTTTGTTGTAATACTAGTCTGAATATGCATAAATATACAATGAAATAAAAAAAGTTGTCCTATACCTGAATAATGGCATGTTTGTTTCCGGTAGAACCGGGAGTTCAAGTGGGAAGGTGAATCCGTTGAATGGTTTCAGAGATGAGCATTTGAAATGGGTCAGAATATAACTGGTCACCCGGCATTATACTGTTCATCGAGCTGTTTATCATTATAAGATAATATCTGTCTTCTGTTTTATTTATAGCAAAAATAGTAGGACAGATTGCAGTTTAAGTTTCTTCAGATTTCCAAAAGATGAGCCAAGGTAAGAAAAAGTGTATCCACAGACATCTATGATCTGTTTGTTATCCATTAACATGATTCATTCATTATCATAGTATAAACACAGTGTGGTATATGAACCCTGATGTTCAAATCTAAATTTCAATGTTTTTACGAGTGGTATTATAGTGGTAAGTGCGTGAATAGGCTATTTATTTATTCGAAGTCGGACCTCTTCTCATAAAATTTAGGGACTTCACAGCATTCCTCAGTGATGACGAGCGAGTCGTCATTCGCTTGTCATTGGCTCGGTCAAGCCCGAAACGCGCAAGTCTGTGCGCACTGGTCTGCCAATAAATAAAACACAAACATCAAACGTTCGGACACTAAGTGAAATTACTGTATTAATATCATTATCATTTCGATTGTTTGGCCTGGACCGAAAATTGATATAGATTAAAAATGGAAGATCTACTCACTGGTTCTCTATATTTCGCCACATATATATAGAGTTCTTTCAGAGCTGCAACAGTATCAAACTCTTCTGCTTGTTGTGCAGACAGCTGTTGCATTGCTGAACCCATTTCCTGATCAGTTATTGTTGGCAGCATCGCCACATCACTGTAGAACTGTGACACCATTTCACGATACCTCGGTATATCCTATGAAATATTAAATTATTAACAATATGCAACTTTGATAATTTATATTCACCTTAGCAAATAGGAGTTTATTTGAAGGGGAATCTTTGCCCAACCGATGTTCTGTTGTAGAACACGAATCCATGAAGGTCTGAGCAATAACAGACAGACAAGAATCCAAGGTTGAAGTTTTGTTGATGTCAAAGATGAAATCTGGGTTTTTGATAAAATTAACCCAAAATCTTAGGGGAAGACTATTGGATTTCCAGGCATGAACAACTTCAGGATCTTGAATGCCGTGTTTCCGTGCAGCCTCGTCTAGTAAGTCGAACAACCACTTAACTGCTGGAGGTAAGGCTTCGTTAACCGTCAAAATCGTTAAGAAGAAATCGTCGACGAATTTCTGAATTGTACCCTTCGTAGATAACAATCTTGTCAAGAATATTTCAGGAATGGCCTTGTGGGTCCTCTCCATCATTTTGTTGTTCAGGAACTGATGGTCATCTATCGGTTTCACCAAGTGGTATATTCTAGGATTATTTCCAGTTTCAATATCACCATTAGCAGCTATTATTGGAGACTGAGAATGGTTCAAGTACATCCCTGTGACGCAGTTGTGGCAAGGTGTTTTACAATTATTGAAGCTGTCGTTCTGTCTAGAAATCAACGACATAACCGCGCTCTCTTTGACTCCATAATGTGCCAAAGTGTTGAGTTTTTTCCAACCACACATTGTTTTTGTGGTAAGATCCTCGTCTTGTAGAGTCAAATGGCCTCCCCTGCCGTGCCTCCATTCTAAATCTACTTCGTAGATTGACGGTCTCAATGAGAAAGGAGTGTTTTTGAACAGGGCGTCTAGAATCTTTGATTTCACCTGACTGATTGTATCACAGTCCAAGACTTTGCATTGGACTTTCTCATCTAAGTCATCTTGGACAATATGTAGGGTCTACAAATTGAAAACAACAAATCAGTAACAAAGTGCCTATTACCACAACAGGATGATTGAAAATTAAACTGACAAATTTCACCTTCAGATTCCATTATTCATTTTGAGGTAAACAGTTAGGGTTGATACCTAACCGACAACATTGATACATAAAACAGTAACTACGACACTGATTCAAAGAAATTAAAAATAAAAACTACAAATTGTTGCATTGAATATCCTAGAATTTTATTCCAAGTTCTCATTTTTTCCCTACAGGAACTTATATGGAAATGAAATATTTTTTTTCGTACTTCTGACAATCTGTATCTGAAAACAGCATGTTTTTTAATGATTCTGTTATTTCCACTATTTTTATGATTCATATTAATAATGTGACATTCAATCCCTCTATACTTATCGGGCTAGTGAATAATTGCCATTGGTGTCGATACGGACCTGAATTAATTTTTCAGCACTTCTTACGCGTTTTTAATGTAAATAATGTGTCTATGCGTTGTTTGAAATTGTTGAACAACCAAGCTTATTTCAAACGTGCTGCCATGGCCGCCATTTGGCCATGTTCTCGGATACGTCGAATATATGGTGACGTCACTTCTTATGCTGTGTCATTATTGGTCAGATAATCTTCCATTCCCACTCATAAAGCAAGGATGTCAGATCACCAATTATAATCAAGTTATTGAAAAGTTGTTATAAAGCCCTGTCGTTGAATAAAACAACATAAATGAAAAAATGCATTTGCCCTAATAGGAGGAAGCCATGATATTATAGTCATAAGCAACCAGCTTGTCAGAATATTTATTATACTCCATAACAAAACATCATGTAAGTATTGGCTATAGAGTCTCGGCAATGCTGTGCTGAATGCTGAGAACTGACAAGACAAAGCCCAAAGTCCTGTGTTTTCACGTTTACCGTACCAAATGTCCTTTAGTGTGAATTAATATAACTATCATTAACACAAATTCATCATGAGCAATAAGACAACATATGAGAGGGACGATTTTGGGACAATGGTTTTTTTTTATATCTAACTGAGGATATTACTAATACATAATTGAACATTTATGAATTATTAAATAAATGATATTTCAGAAGTTCCCATTCCTATTTCAACATATGGCAACTGCGCTATGGTATGCCCCTACTCACGAAATTATGACGTCAGTTTTCATTTGCGGTAAATTTCTAGACGTTTTAAAACCACCGTGAAAATATTGATAATTTTAACACCTTAAAATCGACCGAGAGAATCTAAAAAAATGTGGAATTGAAAGGTTATTGAGCCGATTGTTTGCTAATAAAGTCCAACATATTATGGAATTACAAACTAGAAGAATCGGTTTTTAATCCTAAGTATACAACATGAATTACCTATATCAGCATAATGAAAATTATTCGAAAGATTTTCTTCACAGAAAGTAGTCAAAAAGTTAGATTTCTAAAATGAATTTGTCGAAAAATGTGTCATTTGAGTGCTTCCATGAGTAGGTCTGTTAGCTGTTGGCATTCCTATGATACCAGACGTACAAGTTTTCGTTATCGTATTTCTGAAAGTTCTTTGAATATTTAATGATTCTCGTATTCCTTATGAACAGAAATGGTTTTTAACTTGCTATCGCCTACATAGAACGAATATTTTTATAAGGCAACATCGCCTACATAGAACAAACATTTTTATAAGGAAACCTAGCAACACATGGCAATATCCTCTTTGACTCTGTGGTGTATCTGAGTAAGTTTGAATTCGAAAATCATTATAATTCACTTCAGATTGTTAAAATGTAACAGGCGCTTCTCCACATTCAAGTCCAGTACACCATTGTTTTTCTGATATGTGTAGGTTATATACCCGCATTCATTAATGAAGAAAAAAAAAGGCCAATAAACATACAGGAACTCTAGAATCGACATCACTTATATCAAGCAAATTCTGCGGTGCTTGATTTTGGGATATTAAACTAAAATAGACTTACCACTACACTGTATTCAACATTTTCTCGCAACAGTCTCTCCTCGGACAGTGAATATCTAGCATCATGGGTAATAGCATCCACCAGTCCCTTTTCTATTTGATGTTTGATGGCTTTGAATAGTAAGAATAGCGAGGAGCCAGCATACTCTTTCAAGTAATAGTACATGCACAGTGCCATCCAGTTGGTCAACATTTTCTCCACAACACTTTCTGTTCTTCTCAACATTAGTTGAGGGTGTTTTGTATTTACAGACTTATCGATTAGACGTAATAGTAAACATTTTAGAATATCTGTTGCATACTCCATTTTGCCCATTAAAACTACCATTAATAAGGACGCTACATTCACTCTGAAAAAAAAAAAATAATAATCACAAACAATTTGTTTCAAATCAATCAGTTATGCAACGAACTTAGAAGCGTGTGAATGGTTGGTCAGAAGAGTTGGACAACAATAATTCCACAACAGACGTAAAATATATAAACTGTTCTAAAGAATCTGACCATGTTACTAAGAAAAAACTTTTTGTAAACTAGAACATTTTGGCACCCGCGGGCTACTGCTAAACTGAACCCAATTTATTTTTATAGAACAGACATTTTGTGTTTGGATTGATGATTAATCAGTTCTCTGACCAATCTCCTGTATTAGATAGAGTTCCTCAAAGATATGAACTTGGTCCTTAGTTGTTTTTGTGGTACATATTAGATTCATCACACTTTTTTAAAACGTGTTATTTCTTCGCTGATGACAAAAAAGTTTACAAAAATACAAAATTCATACGTATATTGCAAAATTACTCTATAATTTCCTCATACAACTGCAGTTGTGAGTGGTTAATACCACTGAAAATCAACGAATGCTGTGTACATCACCTTGGTAAAAATAATCCAAGACACAAGTATACTATCAATGATGAGCAATAATTAGTTAATGTAGAATGTCACAATAATCTTGGAGTTACCATTTCAAACATAATTAACTTCGTATCTACTTCAATTCGTTATAAAGTACTTACTTATTCCTAATATTAAAAGACTTCTGAGATTCGAGTATATCTATGAATGCGAGCACAAAATGTTTATTATTGATCAGCTGCTCAAATTGCAACATAGCTGTATCGTAATTCGTCCTTGGCCCATTGAGTCGAACCTACAAAGAAAAATTGAAGGAATGTAGATATACAGTGTTTGCAAAAAACATGTACAAAGCAAGTCAAATCTTGTACAAAGCAAGTCAAATCTTATATGATCGATACCAATGTATAACAGAAGTCAAATGTGTAGTAATTTTAAATCACCCAGTGATTCCTGTTACTAGGATCCGAAAAAAACCTTATAGTTACTTGGTTCTTAAATTTTACAACTGTATAAAAATGAATCCATACCTTAGGAGCGTTCAATATAGGGTGATCGCTAACCCCAGGAAAGAAAACTTTCATGATATAACTGGTATGGTCAAGAGTTGGTATACCAGAATTTTCTAAGTCGGCAGTGAGATCAGTCATGTCAGTTTGGAGTTCAGCGAATGCTAGAAGTAAGTTGATTCCTATACTTCATATAAATACTTATAACTAACCCACTTACCTAATTTACATTCAGACCTAACATTACTCTCCAATGTGTCCATCTGTATTTGGATTCTCTTATATTCCCTTTCAGCTTGAGTTGACTTTCTTCGGTAAACAAATAGTACGGCAACGAAAAACAGAACAAACAGTATTGTTCCAAAGGATATCATTATTATTGCTTCTGGTGGGAAAGCAAATGATTTGAACAGGTCATATTGTAGATAACCGATTGGAAACCTTAAACTTTTTCCTACTCTAACTACTACTAATGGAAGGTTAGTTTCAGTCTGAAAATAAATCAAAATGAACATTACAGTGAATTCCATAACAGAAATTCATAACCACCAAGAGTGGGAAATAATATTTGGGCAACGGCCTTGATTTTTTTCAAAAGCGTTTCATGATGATTCCAGTATTCAACCATAGATTAAAAATACCAAACTAAATTCAACAATTTTCAAATGCTGGTAAGTAATCAAAGATGTGATCCTATAAAATATTTTGTTCCATTCCACTGATGTAACAGCTAAAATATCTATGGCTTCAATGCCAATTTGATTATTAAAAAATACAGCATTTAAACACGTCATAACATTCCAATATGGTTCCGAGAGTACACATCGATTTAAATGTCTTTGAAACACACAAGCACAATTAACATTATACACTCCAAACACCTGGATATCCATCTTGATTCACATTATTTCAGAGAACAACCCACAAAATGACGATGGCGTCACCCGATCAAAGTGTTGAGTTGACTCGGCCGTTGCTTGATGGAAATCCATAGTAATTGTGAAAATTAACGATGAGATTTCCATATAAATTTCAAAAACACGGACATCTCTTTCATGATAATCTGTCACACTAATTCGACTACAGAATTTGAAAGTCCCGGAGATAAGTTCTTCAATGAACTTAATTAAGTTGTGTTTTATCATTTCACCTAGATCAGAACGTTTCCTTTTTTGAAAATTTCTCATTCATTAAGAAAAAAATGAAAATTATTGTGCATACTTTCCGAAATGAAGGATTAGTTTGCCTTTTCAAAGTTAATTTTAAGTTCCGTATACCCTGTTTTACACTGAATGTTAAAACAGATTGACGAGAGAAATGAAATGATATAATTATCTAACCTTGAATCCATTTTCATCAGTGTCTGGTGGCTGATGATCAGGGGGCACACATACAAGCTGAATGAGCGCCAGTCCTGTGACATTGCAAGACTTCGTACCAATAGTGACGACCACGTCAGATTCCTCACTGGCTGCATTCAAATTGTCCCCCTCTATCACCAGCCTATCGCCCTGATACAGTTTCATCTGGTTAGGAAACTGGAAGAATTTCGGATCTTCCACATATAATAATTGAGATCTGAGATTTGGGAAATGCTTTTCCAAATCCCTCACTGATTGCACATTGTCCATTAAGAACCCTATCCTGAGGGACAGTTTTGGCTCCTTCATCTAAAACATCACGAACATTTTGTGGAAATATGTTTTTGAGTTTTTAAAATGAACAAACCTTTATTGCCGCTGGTTTTCTTAGTGATCTACGACTTCTACTGCTAAAGTACTTGAAATGCCTATTCACAGGTGGACTAGGACACTCCATTTGCGTTGAGCTAAGCACTGTACATAGCGTTCTGTTTATAGGTACATTAGGCTCTCCCAGCCCATAAACTTCCATCTCTGGCTTCTGGATACTGTCCAAATTTGTCCCGTGCACGAAAATCATTTTCCCACCAGATACAAAGCTATTCAACGGCTTGATCTCCATGATCGTAGGATCCTGAGTGTAGTTGAATGGATTGCCCGGTAGAGTGCGATTGGCACCATCTATACTAAGCGTGAGCTTAGCTATATTCGTTGGTCTATGGGCACGAGAAGTGATACAGGTCAGTCTCCCACTTGAAGCTTGAGTGACATTCACTTGACAGATGTACTCGTCCAAGTAAGCGGTTATTTCAGTGCCTACATTCAGGTATTGGCCGGTGATAGCTAGCTGAGTACCTCCTGATTGAGGACCCATCGAAGGATAGATTCCAGAGAGTCTGATATCCTTGTAGCTGAACTCGACTGAGGACTTGGTATACCCAGCCTCATTCCCAACTCTGACAGAAGCAGTCATCTCGGCCCTAGACGGACCGGTGATGCACTGGATCCTAACAGATACCTCGTAGTTGACCAAGATACACGGTATCTGCCCTATCTTGATTTTGCCCTGCACGTCGATCTTTTTCAGCCCCAAGTTACTACCCTCGATCGTTACCAAGGTACCACCTTCGATGGGACCGCTCAGCGGCTTGATCATGTCGATTCTAGGTCTAGGGCATTCGATGTGGGGCACATGCTGACAGGTTTCGGAGTATTGGCAGGTGTTCCCGCACCAAGTACAGTTGTACTTGGAGTTACGTGTGACACACAGAGAACAGTCGGCGTGTTCCCTATGCGAGCCTAGGATGTCGCATTTGTACAGAGTTACATTGATGGAATCGACGTGATGGTTTCTGTTCCAAACAACTTTCACACTTGCTTCATATTCACCTTCAATTGCCTCGTAAGAATACTGAAAAGAGAGTTGCATACAGGGAGGGCTAATAATGTGAATAATGAGATAGCTGATCTATTTGAGATAGGAAAAATAATGAACTTGCGAGGTATAGATTCGTTAGTCATTTGGAGATCACTATATACCTGATGGCGAATAACTTCAAGGAGGTATACATTCGTTAGTCATTTGGAGATCACTATATACCTGATGGAGAATAACTTCAAAACATTCCTCTCATGAACTTACAAGTTCAGTCAGTTCATTTCCTCCTCTCTCAAAAATAACAGAGTATTGTTATCATCCTTTGCCACACATTTGACATACCTACTTTGTATTTCAACTGTTGATTGATATTCAAATAAACAAGCCAACTGGGAAAAGTTTTCAATTGGAGCATGGTTTTATATAAAGGGTGATTCATTAATATAGATCGAAAGGGTAAGATTCCTTATCCCTTGAGTAAAAATAAATCCTGAAAATATATGCTCAAAAACTGTTCGATCTTCACTTCGGCAGATTACAATAAAATATTCTTTGGTAATTTAATGATGAATCTGTTGAAACTATAACAGTTTATCAAGTTATTCCAGAGTAGTGCATATGGTGCAAGTCAGTACATTTTTGCAAAATGAATAAAATAAGCAGCAGTTTAAAAACCAAACATTTAATGATTTCTCAACAAATGAAGCAAAAACTGAACTTACTTAAAACCTTACAAAAAAGTGCTGAAATGTTCTGTGTTCAGCTAATTTAGAATAATTCAATGTGCTATTCTCTAAAAGGCTCATAGTAAATACTTTTAAAAAATGCGTACCTATTGGAACTCTGAAATGAATCACCCTGTATGTGTCCTTGAATATTGTTCAGTATGCTGAATTCTATGAATAAATGGAGTGTATGAAACACTAGAAATGTCCATAATCAAAAAATATTTTGAAAATATTCTGGGGTGGTATAACACTTACAGTAGTTTTATCGCAAACAATGATATTCTTTCCCTCAACCCTAGCTGGTACAAGCATTGTAGCACCTTCAATAACTATAATACACTGGAAGCCAGTATGTACAGAAGAAGGATTCGGTAGATTTATAACTTCAAAAACGATCTCTTTCAAAACGTTATTTGGTAAAAGTATTGCATCATTTCTTCTTCTGAATTGTGGACAAAATCCAAATCCATGCATCAGAAGATGATTTGGATTCTGAAAATAAAAATAATTTCATTCAATAATATCTTTAAAAAAAAAAATACAAGAAAGCTCAGTCATTTCCACAATTGTTCATAAAATTAACAACAATGGTAGATGGCGAGAGGAAAACAACTACTTTCCTGGCGAATACTAACACTTGCATTAGTATCCGTTCATGTTCTGCGTGGCATTAGCCAGGAAAGTAGTTGTTTTCCTCTCGTCATTTACCATTGTTGTTCATTTTATGATTGTGTGATTTGAGCATTGTGGCTATTTCGTAGTTGAATTTCTTTTTTATTCAATAAACAAAACTATCAATGGCAACTCACGTTTTCTCCACTAATTATGCTCCTCTGACAGATTGAAATATTATGTGTACACTTGTTCTCGTAAACACACCAATTACATGCCCATTTCGACCGGACACATTCGCCACAAGTACCATGTTTTCCACAATCATAGTACGCAAAATTTCTCGATACAAAATCCTTGTTGGTCTCGGAAGACCTAACACTCAATGGAACTAAGACATGATCCATTTTAGGCGGAATTATCGGTCGTCGCGATATCTCAGGTGTGAAACAAGACAAGCCATTTTCTGTCATTTCAGCGTCAATCGGTTCTGCGTTACCAAAAACGCACTTATACTTAGCACCGTGAGGAAGAGCAGGAAGGGTCCTTATAGTCAGACGGACATTCGTCATTTGGTTTATGGGAATGCGTTCCGGTAGAACTTGTTCGAAATCTATACATTGTTGGCCTGTTCCTAGAGATAGCCATCGAGGTGCACTATGAGATGCTTGTTGACAGGCACTCCGTATGGTACACCGTTTCTCCAAAGAGCACCAGCCACAGTATGGATCTTTGGAATCCAAACACGAGGAACAATTGGTGTAAGTACTACAGTGCTCCACGTTTATTTTGGAGATCTGTAAAAAAAGTACATGATATTGAAAACTTCGAAATAACGTCTTGAATCAGATGTTATTCTCTTTCAAATGATGCCCTCCAAACATTATGTCTCCATTCCCTATACCTAGCGGGGTGTGACATTTTTTTTGGAATGGAACACCCTTTATTTTATTGCATATCAGTATATTACTTGAATATCCCTATGCCACATCAAATTCCCTATCCATCAATGATAACAAAAATCAACTTGATCTATTTGAATTCTCTTGGCATAGATGAATAGGGAATTTGATGTAGAACACTAGTATCAAACAATATTTACAGGTGGTCGTTTGATTGGTTGAGCCAGAATATGTCTACAAGCTTACTTAAAAACTTACTATACATGCATGTATTGTGATATCTTTGTTTGTAATGAAAAAATGTCATCCATTAAATTATTACAAAAATAAAAAACCAAAATATAAACCTCCCTAGATTTTATGAGAAATCTTGTAATAACGGACATAAAAAATGATATTCCTTACCTTAGAGGTAGACAATACATAAAGATAATCTCCGGAAGGCGAAACAGTTGTATCTGACAACACAGCATTTCCATCATCGACCACAACTTCTTCATATTCAGGAGGCTCCGGCCCTGATAAAAGGACTTTTTTTATCCTACCATCACTAGTCCCAAGGAATGCAAGAACGTGTCTTCCGGTAGATCCCGTTGTAACAGCAGAAAGGGATATATTCGGAAAAGAAATAGCTGCAGTAGCTACCAAAGGCGTTACGCCGCTTATTTTGAGACCGACTTCACAGAAGTTAGGTATATTTCCAGCTGAACCACTGCTGGGACATTTACCGTCCAATATGGGACCAGAAACGTACCCCATATTACGATACTTGACACTGCCATTAAAACACATGTGTATGTTCTCTATGAACTTCCCTTCTATGTCCCTGAGTGGATACAGACACAATGCCGATTGGTTTTGTGGCTCGTTAGTTATTCCCTTAGCGGGTCTGAAGATAGCTACCAATACTGGGGATCCTACTGCAATACCTAAAGCTGACGCCAGCTCTTCTCTGGCCAACGTTATCTTAGCATCCTGCACTAAATTATATTTCGTGTCGTAGTCAACACACTGTAAAGTTACTTCGGTATAGCTGTCATAGTTGGGATCGTTGATGCAAGTTCTCGATAACCGTGAAACGTAACCCTGCTCCTCCTGACCCGGTAGATGCGACTGCTTCTGGACGATAACGAAGTACGCATAATCGCTGGCGTTGAACCCGTATACATACTGTACGATGAAGTGGTCCCGATATTTGACATCGATGCTGAGCAGCGACTGCTTACTGAACGTCAGCTCAGCTATATCTAACGTTTCCAGATCTCGGCTAGCTATCGCTGGTACATCGTGCCGATATTCACCGAAGTTCGTGAACGTGGTTCCGACGTAGAGGATGTTGGAACGTCCCCAGAGGTTGTACTTCTTGGGGCCTATGTAAGCGTAAGTGGAGGCGTTAGCGTCATTCGCTGCGATGCTCTTCGGTATAAAGAGCGGCTCGGCGCTGAAGTTGTTCAGTTTGTACTTGTAGCAAGCGCCTTGCGCCAACGAGCCACAAGAGATGAGGGTCCTCGTCTCGGGCTCGATGAGCAGTATCTTGTTGTAGTTGTCCATTAGCGTCGCGTGTATCGAAGGATCGTTGCACCCGGTGGCATGGCACAGCGGGCTGTCGTTCCTAGGGCCCGTGGTCACTAGGTGCACTAGGTGCAAGTCGCTGTCGAGTTGCAGAAGGCAATTCGTGCCGCCCACGAACACCCTCTGAGTCTCGGGATCGACGGCCATGTGCGTGAAGCGCAAGGGCTCGTCCTGCGGGCCAGGGTACTGCGCCAGCAGGATTCCTGCTGCGGCGCCGCCCCACAGGCCCGCCAGCAGCAGCAGCCAGACGCCTGCCACGGTGCCGCCAACCGTTCCCACATGAACGGCTTCTATTACCATTTAAGAGGGAGAGGGCATGCTTCTGTCGCTGGAGGGGGCGAGCCAATGCTCAGGGCTTCTCCAGATCCACATCACTGCAAACGAAAACTGTTATCAATAACTAGAAACTGGATATGGGATGATAATGCACACAATTTTATTGCAAAGGACATGCTGATGTTTCTGTAGAATTAAATAGTATGCTGATGATGGACCTACATAAGTCCGAAACTTGTCATATGGAACAACCTTTTTTTTATGTTCTGGTTCCCACGAAAAGGGATATCCTGTAATGTTCAGAGAACATCGTGAGAACCAAGGTAAATAAGGTACGTTCATCCGTTATTTAGCAGACAAAGACATAAGAGATAGTGTATAGTATACCCTTAATTTACATTTCACCGAAGTAGGTACGTTTATTGCAATTTAATATTGCCTCAATTACCACACTATTTTGAAACTTTGGTTATCTATTCCGAATCTCATTGCTCAAAAAACAAAACATTGAAGTGCAACAATAAATGTGGGTGTTTATTTATTATTTTATCTAAGTATACCTACCTGAATAGGGGTTTCAAAATTATCCAAGTTTTTTTTCTCAGATATCCTAATAATATGAAAAAACTACTAGGTATTCAATATGCAATCCTATACAGAATAGGACCTTTTTCCATAAAATCAAACAGTACAGTAGTGATTTTTGATAAAATGTTACTTGAAGATTAAATTCTGCCATAACAGATATTATGAGTTCTTTTAAGTAATAAATTTCACTTTATTTCATCAACTTCAACATCCCTTATGTCGCAAATGACTTTTGCTTTTTATGGCATATTTTTATAGTAATTTCTGAAAGAATCACCTCCTGCTTTTTTTCACATCAATTCTGAATCACTCTGTATAATAAATCACACACAGAGTCGTCACAGTTTAGGTATCGTCTAACGATATTTTAATTACAATATTCTGATTACTAATTATTGGATCCGTCCAGTAAGTATATGGTTGAAGAAAATTTGGTGGTCAATTGTGGTTTCAATTTGTACCTACTTATAATAATGTTCGCATAATATGTGTTGATTATAGAACGAACAGAATTGACCATATCAAAATACAACTTCAAATGAGTATTTTCTAGTGATCCCACGGATAGGTCATAAAAACACAGATAAAAATAACAAATGAATGCATGATGCAACCAGTGGCGTACCCAGAAGTGCACCTTGGGGGGATATAATTTTTTTTGCAAAACACATTTTTATGTATGATTTTTATTAGCTACAATAATTTTGAGCATTACAGAATAAAAACTAAGCTCCTTGGCTTGAGAGCAATTTCATCAATTACTAGTCCATTGAGCCTTTCTTGGGCGGTAGCATATTCCTTGAATAGGTTCTGATCCGTTTCAAAGGACATTTTTGGTGTCGCAGTGGACACTGGCAATGTATACAGGCTGTCCCATTGACGATGTCCGGGATATCTCACTTATTTTTAAAGATAATCCCGTAAGGACATAAAAAATGGGACAGTCTGTACAGAAAATTTTGAGAAGTTTGTGCACATTTGGGTAGGCATATCTACTACAAATCTCCAAAAAGATCAGTGCCAGACGTTTGTTTTTAATTTCCAAAGATCACTTGGAGCGCACGAAAGGAAATTTCTATAATGTTCGTGGAACATCGTGCGTACCTGGAGCGGAGATAGGTATTGGATTTTTTTTTCACTTTTGTAGGTTATAAGTTCTTGGTGATACTTCCATTGACGAAGAATTCCAAAGTTTCGCCGTTCTATAGAAGAACTAGTTTTGGTAGAGTGTTGTTCGACATTTTTCAAGGTTAACGACGAAGAAATGTGCTGACTGGGCCTGTCGAGTTCGTCTGACTGGTATTGCTAGTGATGGAATTATAGTAGAGATTTCTGAGAAACATTTTCCGTGGAAGTATCTATTGAAAAGCGAAAGGTCGCCGACTTTTTTACGATATTCTTATGGGGTTATAGATTTAGTGAGTGTGGCATCACCTACCAGGCGAATGGCTCTTCTCTGGATGGAATCTAAGACCATCAGCGTATGTTTGGGTGCTGAACACCCATACACCATATATAATATCTATCTGAAACTGCACCGTGTAAAAAAAATCAATTATCTTCTGGATGGATTTGTTCCAGAGATTTAAAATGTTTATTGAAAGAAATATATGCGGAATTTTCATTCAGCTGTAACGAGACATCATATCCATCAATTCAAACTGCTGATATATATATCATTGCTGATTTTTCTTTTCAAAAATATCGATAAATGGCTTTGTTTCATCATTATAAATTTCGAACTACACTAAAGTTAGGTTAACACTCAAACACTGCCCTGCCTACTTGAAATCGAATTGACTAGTCGTACAACTCATTACATAAAATGAACAAACCACACAAATAATATGGGGGAATCACAGCTCAAGACCGAAAGAACCAAAAAGGAAAAAGCACGCTCTTAAGCTAATCTCACCACAAAACTTAAAGACCAACGACCAACGACCCGGAACCCTGATGAAGATGAAAATGTAATACATGAAGAAAAGTGATGTCATTTTATCGGCAAATGGGGGGAGTATATCTCCCTTTCCCCCCCGTAGGTATGCCACTGGATGCAACTGTTGTATTTCGGTATCGGAGTTACAAAAAGACAGTTACAGAATAATTTACTTGCTGATATTATACTGATATAATTTGATGTACGATATAGGTAGGTATGTACTCATACACAAACATCTCTATGTATATTACATTCTGAGTAAATAAAAGGGGTTCTTCATGCGTTATCAAAACTGTAGGTAGGTACATATTGGACCGTGGGATGACACTACCTTCACTATATATTTTCAACAATTAAAACTTTGTTGAATCAGTTGAATGAAGAAAATTAAAGACAAATAGAAAACGTACTAAAAATATTCTGGGTATATCCAGTCGGAAAAATTCTAGAACGAACAGAAAAATGACCGTAAAAGGAAATATGTATAGTGTATATTTGTTTCAATCACAAGCTTGTTCGACCAAGTGCCGCAAGTAGAAGTTATCGAGTGGTGCGAGTAGTTTGAAGAATGAGGCGAAGCGAATCCGAGTTGAGTCAATAACATGAGAGTAGTTACGTTTCAACCCCAGTTCCAGTTATAAACACTTTTTCCTGTGACGGGAAAAAAGTTTGACATTTCATCTCTGTGTAATAACTGCAATTCCTTTCATCTTTCATTCCACTTCGCGGTTGTTTGTAAATGAATAAACAATAACCACGAAGTTCGCAATTTTTTAAAATCAAATCACAGAATCAGACTGACAGATATTTGATTACTTCAAAAAGAATGATAGATGCCTGCAAATAGATACCTACAACGCAGGTGTAATTCCTGTTAAAAATTTCAAAGTTTGCATTATAAACGGGAAAAATATTAGATTTTACCTCACGGTTTTTTGTCTAACACAACCAAGAGCTGAAATTTACAACTTTTTTCCTTGCATAAGATACAGACATACCTATATTCGGCGTGTTGTACAATTCAATCACTCATACAATTTGTAGTTTCTTTAGTTTCGATAAAGCACCCTAACAATGCTTTCCGAAATTTGAACCTTTAAAATTGGCAGTAGTTGGATTACAGCACAAATATAAAGTTATATCCTCACTTGTTGAATGGTCTTATGAAATCCGTTCCTACCGATCAAAAAAATCTATCACAATCGATCAACATTTTGATTTTACATCAGGGTTCTTATAAAGTCGTTGATGTGGACACACAATATATCAGTAGAAGACGATACAGATACAAAAATTGTGAATATGTAGATCAATTTCGTGTATTGTAAGATTCTTGGCCTGTTTCGATGAAAAATTTCATTTCATTATTTTTAAGTACTAACCCGAACTAGTTCTCTTTCGCAAACCGTTTTCTCCTCAGAGTTCTGAACATTTTTCAAATAATACGTGAAATTCATTACATGCAACTTTACACACGATGCGACTTATGTATTGATGAGTGTACCTCAGTAGGTACACATAATATATTGATATGAATTCTCGGCAAAACATCGCATTTAATTTTTAAAATGTAATGGAACTTGCATTCGTTTAATGAAATTCTCGCCGCCAAATTATTGATACTATTTATTCCCAGCTGAATGTATGTAAGGAATTCAATCAGAATTGTACAGGAAATAAAACTGATTGCATTTCCAGGAGGTCAAAGTTCAAATATACCCCAGACGAATAAATTAAATTGTAATAGGTCAATTTTAACACTTCCCAAATGTGATTCCAATTTCATACTGCCATGCCGGGTTCGTTATATCGGTATATAATTGATTGATATATACAGTGCTTTCGTGAAGTACCGAATAAATTCATTTTTAGTCAAACTAACCATTTCTGAGGACTCTTTCACAAGTCGATCTTACTTTTAAATTTTCCACATTTATGAAGAGTAATGAGGTATTCAGGCTGATCCACGTTTGAGTCATAAGTCCGCGACAATATAATAGTAAAATACTTTCAGATCACTTCCGGTTTCACCGAAAATGTCTCTGGTTGGTTTTGAATTTTCAAATTTAACACCCAATTTATTGAATTTTATCAATCTTGATTGAAGAATGAATTCAAAAATATATTACAAATAGGGTTTGTATACAGTGCGTCCGTTATTTCAGTGCTATCGTGAGATCGTGTTGCCGTTAAAGAAATATCGATGACGTAATTTTCCCTACACAAATTATTCTGTATGTATCGACTTTATCCACTACTTTAAAAGTGCACTCAATTCAAAAGACACACTGTATACAAACCCTATGTGTAATACAATTCTGGATTCAGCTTACCATGGAGATTCCACAAATTACTTTACGAAAGCGCACTGTAGGAAGGAACTGGCACAATAAATATTAAATTTATCGAATTGTGACTTTGTTATCATAAAAAATGCTTCAATATGTTCAACTTCGGAAAAATCAATTTGAATGAGACAAAGTTGTATCGACTATTATTATGATGTTATTTTATCAGGCCACATACCGATTAATGTGAAGTTGTCCACGAATTTCTGGCCACGCTTTA